TGACTCTCACAGTTTAAACAATGTACCTCTATGACATGTATAGTATCTTCAGGTAAACAAAATTGCATATAGTTTTAAAGATTGTTATCTTCAATTTCCTTATTATTTTTGGTTTCATCAACTATTCTCGCACAAAAAAGCACAACAGATTGATACATTCTTTTTTATAAATGTTCCTTTTTAAATTATTGAAAGAAACTTAAATGCACTTTCATCAAGGTTTGTGCATGAATCAAATAAATATTTTTTTAATTTGATTGAATTAAAGGTGGGGTAGGTAATTTCGGAGAAACCAGCTCGAGTGCGTAGAATTTGAAAATACACAACCGGAGAAAATCTGCCACTTCCTTATAGAGCCCCTCCTCCAACACACATGAACGTGCACATGACCAATGAGGGCACGAGATAAGTTTGTGCACAGATGGAAGGCTGACAGGCAGGTAGGCCATCCAGTTATTTTAGCCGGGCCGGCTAAAATGATTGGTCGTGCTTTTTACAGTACTACGGCTTCCACAGATGACATTTTTTTATGGATCTTTTGTCAAAGCACTAAAGATATTCATTGAAAACTTACCTACCCCACCTTTAATTAAGATATTTTACCATTTTGTTAAAAATGAATAACATTTCAGATTTATGAACGCCCTGTATTTATTGTATTCCTGATCTTGAGGGTACTTTTAAAGGAATCATGGCTCACGTACAGAAGAGCAGAAGCCTTTACACTTATTCTGCAAAGTAAACATGATGGATTTGAAGAGGATGATGTCATCATGAATATGTCATTTAAATACATTTGGAATCCTGATGATTTGATCCTTTGAACAGAATTATGATGTGATCGTGATGTCTGATTCCACATTCCAAAATCTTGCGAATGGAGCCTTTAGAGTTATTTTACATGTGGTGACAATTCAGATTAAGGCGAACAAATTGACTCGACTAAGAGAGTATTTGGAATATTTTACAGCAAAAATGCGTCAACGAATCCAGGTTAAAAACAATGACATACTGTCCAGCAGGTCTGCAAACTACCTAGTATTGGACTTAATCGGAGAAGGTAGTTTTGGCAAAGTTGCAAAATGCCTAAACTTAAAAACATCAGAGACTATAGCCATTAAGATTCTCAAAGACATTCAATACTATGTTACAGAAGTTAGAATGTTAGAAGAAATCAGGCAACTTGACCCAGAGAAGAACAACCTGATACGATTTATTGAAACATTCATGTTCGGAGACTTTCCTTGCCTAGCATTTGAAAAGCTGGATAGGAGCCTTTACGACTTTACGGTACAGAAAGAGGAGCCATTATCGCTCAATGAGATCCGCCCCATCACACAGCAGCTACTTGTAGCATTTGAGGCCCTGAAGAGCATTGGCGTCATTCATTCAGACCTAAAACCAAACAACATCATGCTTGTGGACCAACGGCATCAGCCCTTAAGGATTACATTGATCGACTTTGGCATGTCCATTCCAGCCTCCGAAGTAGAAGTAGGAGCTAGGATGCAACCGGTTTCCTACCGATCTCCAGAGGTCAACTTGGGCCTCCCCATTTCTGAGGCCATAGACATGTGGTCACTCGGATGTCTTTTGGGAGACATTTATTTTGGTAGGGAGCTCTTCTACGGAAGAACGTCATACCAAGTGATGAAAGCCATTTGCCAGCTGATCGGTCAGCCAGGAGACCACCTGCTAAATGCTGGGAAGAACAGCTCAGAGTGTTTCAAAACGTTTAAGAGATTCAACCATAAAAGATGGAGACTGAAGACGCCAAGGGAGTACAAGAAGTCAATCGGTGTCTGGAGCACCCTTATAAAAAGACCTTTTGACAGGTTCGGTAGTTTGGATGAAGCAGTAGTAAAGCACTCCAGGAAAAAGAACAACGTTGAGTTTAAGGACAGGATTGCATTTTTACAACTGCTCAAACAGCTACTTGACGTTGATGCTAACTCGCGAATCACGCCCAAGCAGGCCCTGACTGACAGCTTTGTAACAATGGGTTACCTAAAAGAGGCCCTGGACTGCTGCTCTTATTACCCAGAAGCTCTTAGGAGGATGAGCATCTGCACCCCGCACCATTCAGATGCATCGGATGTTCCTCTCAACAATAATGAAACTGACATGAAGTCCATTGACGCGAGTGGCGGAGTCCCAGATACTGACAATGCCAGATATCCAGACGCACCGCCAAATAGTTTCTGTCAGGATCCTCCTATCAAATCTTGTGGGAAAAGCTCACAGAAAGAGCATCCCATAACTTTCATTGCTGATAATTCCAATCTAGAGAAGTCCAATATTGACACAACACACAACAAGGCCACACCTTATGGTGCTGCAGCCACCATCACACCTACTGATCGGGGCGATGTCGACGAAACGCGGCCAGGGTTACCAAAGAGGCTCAGATTTTTTCAGCGAGTGAGAAGGGCGTTATAAGAAATAACCTCCTGTTTGACTTAACGTTTGAGCAGAGCCGAGCTTGAATGTGCCCCGGACGCCCACGCCAGACTACACCACTGACCCCAAAACACCTTTTAAGTAAAATATTCTTCGCTTTGTTCTGCTTGTGCTGATGTATGGGTTTCCTCCAGGTCTCCTGGTTCCCAGCATAACATGAATTTAAAAATAAATAAAAAAGAAGATATACGTGTGATGTTTATTGTTGACTTTAAATTGTTATGATTGTAAATATTTCACTTTTTAGAAGCGCTATGACATACTGAATCACCTTACTACTTCTTTGATGGCACCCAGAGCATTGTTGACATCCACCTGGATCCATCTGTATCTTCTTATTTGTAGACACATGCATTTTCAAGCATTTGGACTACCTATGTTGTAAATGTATTATCATTTTAATTCACACACAACATCCATCGCATGTCTGTCCTTGACCGATGTCAGGGTGTCGTATTAATATTCTCTACAAAGGGTTAAGTCCCCTGAGACAAATGTAACGTGTGTGATATTGGGCTGTATAAATAAACGTTGATTGATTGACTGCCTTGCCCCCTCATACCTGTCTGCTTATTAAAATAATGTCTCTGTTTTTACCTGGGGAGCTACCTGTGCAAACTTATTATGGCTATGGTTATGTTTATGAATTTTTGTCTGTTATGAGGTAAAAAAAATATATATTTGAGATTTAAAGAGGCCCTATTATGCTTCTGGGGTTTTCCCTTTCCCGTAGTGTGTTATATCGGTTTCTGTGCATGTAAATGGCCAGCAAAGGCTAAAATCCCAATTTCCCTCCAGAGGGAGAGGAACTCCCTCTTTGTTGTTGTTTGTTCCATTGTTTAGGATCACTGACGGTGAGGTGATAACAAAATAATCATATGTTTTCTCTAATATGTCCTGACTTTAAACACTGTATTACTTAAGCTCAGATTTTATTGTGTTGATATTCTGTTTCGCATTTTTCAACAACAGGTTTGTTCACGTCTGAGAATATCCAGCCAATATCCAACACTTCAAGATAAATACAAATTAAAAGTTAAAAAAAAAGAATGTCCGAATCGCATTGAAACTCACACAAATAACCAAACAAAAACAGACGGTTACAATTGTATTTTTCTGAGCAATCACTGCAATATGAAGCGCTTTGATAACAATTACCGCACATGAAGCACAGTATTTAGAATTGACTGAATGAAGCAAAAAATGACACTGAACAAGGTGTGTGAGACAAGTTAACATGAAAGAGAGAAGCTGGTTTGCAAGATTGAATTTATTAGCTACAAATCATGAATATTTGTTAATTTCCTATAGAGAACTCTACTTTGCAGGAAGGTCAGATGCTGAATGAGTATCACAATTACAGATGTCTGTGTTCAGGTTCGATGTGTAACTGTTTAGATGCACTCACATTTCTGTTCTAAACAAGGCAAAGTATTTGCTAGATTACAAGACATTGAGGATGTTGTACTGTTCACTCATTTTGCCATTTTTTATTTATTGTATAGAAGTTTGGGGCAACACGTATATGAGCAACATAAAGCCATTGTCAATATTACAGAAAAGGGCAGTAAGAATAATTCATAAAGCTGACTGAAGAGAACACACCAACTGACTGTTTTTTAAGGCAGGACTCCTGAAACTGAAAGAGATAGCTGAGCTGCAGACATTAGTAATGCACAGGGCAAAAAGCAGAATGTTACCAGTATATTTACAACAGTTGTTTGCTTTTAGATCAGACAAGGAAGACCACAGAAGGACATTTCATTTGAAGCATCCTTATGCAAGGACTACTCTAAAGCAAATGTGTATTTCGGTGGTTGGTGTAAAATGGTGGAATTCTCAACAGAAGGATCTAAAGAATTGTATATGTATTTTATAGTTAAAGAAATTGTATAAATTAAGAAAAATGGGACTATATGAAGCAGAATGTGAATAAGTACTCTGGTCCTGCATTGGTAAATATTTGTGATGTCTCTGATGTGATGTCTGTTCTTTATTTGCAGGTCCCATTATTATTATTATTATGATTATTATGATGATTATGATTATGCGCCGCTTTCCACCTTCTTAGTAGGAATCAGAAGAGGGAGTTGCACTTTTCATTTTCCTTTTCCTTGTACATGTGATGTTTTGGTGTTGTTGTTTTTTTGTTTTGTTTCTTTCCGTTAACTGTCAAGTGGGATATAAGTATTTTTTGTGTGTCTCTTATTATCCTAAGGTACTGTTATGTTTGGCTGTGAAAAAGAAATATGAAGGACAGACCATCTATTTCTATTTATTTTGTTCTTTTAGAAAGGGGCAGGTCATATAAGATTATTTTCTTCTCCCTGCTCCTTTTCGGTCAATGGTGTGTTTACAGAGACATGTTTTATTAACAATTATTATACATTAAGTTTTGCATACCATGAACGGAATAAATAAAAATGAAATGAAATGTGTAACTGTTTAGATGCACTCACATTTTGGTAATGTTTTATAACAATAGTCTCAACATATGTTTTTTTAAAACGCCATATGAGGTCAAGTATCATAACACTTCATGATTGCTGGAGGGCCTTTATTGGCTACAGACGGGCATAGTATCAATGCTATTTGTATAGTTTTACATGCACAATAGTGTGTTTGGTCACTGTTGAGATTAGTTTATGATGTGATTGATGCACAGAGCCTTGTGCTACAAACCAGCTGGTTACGTTTTGCTTTTTGTTTGGTTACCTCTCCGGATAGCTTGCTTGACAGCCTCACACACTTGTCACATCAGCATACAAGTGTGTGTGTGGGTGTGTGTCTGTGTGTGTCATTATTTCCCTGGATAGTGGTGACTGTTCTCCTCAGGATGCTTTAGAGTATGAGGTGGGTCCAGACTGAACATGAGCGTGGGCTCTCTGCTTATTGGATCAGGGTGGTGCCAGTCACCTTCGATGGGTGGAGCACTTGCTCGGGAACTCGATTGGCTCGGGAACGGATTCACCATCTCCTGCTGAGGAGACGGGGTGAGGCAGTACTCCTCTTTCTCCTGCTGCTGCAAGTTTCTGAGGATAGCTTTGGACAGGAAGTGGGGGTCTTCCTCGTGCTCATCTAGAGGTAGAGGAAGAAGAAGAATAACGCGTGATGTTTTTGTTAGTGTGAGCATCCTGTCTTTAGTTAACTTATGTGTTTTTATTCAAGTTTCAAGTTTCAAGGCTTTATTGACATTAGCACAATAGCTACAGTGTAGATATGGCAATGAAAACTTAGGTCACAGGCTCCTCCAACAGTGCAACAGATAGGACATAGAACAAATAAAACAGATAAAATAGTGCAAGAGAATGTTTGGAGATGTGCAAGTAAATACAAATACAAATTGAAATAGTGCAAGAAGAGTCTATATACAAGTAAGTGGAATGGAATGATATATTATATTCTTTACCTTACCTTATTCTTTATCAACATTGCCAAATCATTCAAAAATCCTGATCATGAATCACACACACACACACACTTGGCTTGTGTTCCTACCGTTGAGCAGGATGAGCTTGTAGTAGTTGCGGCACTCCAGCGAGTTCTCCAGGATGTCCTGCAGCGTGCTGAAGAAGAGCAGCACCTGCTGTCTGCGCTCCGGCTCCCCGAACCCCGCGCTGCTCTCCTGGGACATGCTGTGCAGCGTCAGCAGGGGCGTGGCATACTCCAACACACACTCATGGGCCTGTATACACACACATATGGACAAAACAGACACATTAGACTGATAGAAAATCCTTTAAAAGCTTGTGGAACTGTGGCACTGGATGTGTTTGATGATTATGTTTTACATGCAGATGGTGCTTTTACTGTGCTTTATCAAAGGGAATCATCACTTTATCTTATCAGGTTTAACCAGCAGGTGGTACTCACGTTGTGCTAAGGAGGGGGAACAGTATGCTGGTGGGAATGTACTGTACTAGGTTGAGTGTTTATATTTTTTGTATATCAAAGTGTTTGAAAAGTTATTCAGTATTTATTCAAATTAAAAGGGGACAAGAGTTGGTCTATTCAAAATGGTCATTAAAGGGGCCCTTGTGTTTCTCTCCCACACACTTCCTCACTGTCTGAAACACCTTGAGTAGACTCCTTTGTTCTCCGCAACATAGTGACATCACTTCATAACACTTGTGATTCTAATAGCAAGCGCTGTAACACATTGTACGTGATAGGCTAAGGGGCGGGACATCTCTAAGCAGTTGACCAATCACAACAGAGCCGTGCCGCTGCAGCACAGGCAGTACGAGAAAAATAAAGAGCTTTTTGAACATTAGAGCTTGTTCACATGTCACAGTAGATGAAAAAATATGAACCCTGAAATTAGCATAATAGGGACCCTTTAAATCAGGGGTGTCAAACTCAATTTCATCGCGGGCCACATTCGCATTATGGTTGCACTCAAAAGGACCGGTTGTAACATTAAGACTATATAAAAATACATATATAAATATTTAATATATATATAATAATGTATTATATTACATTATTGCCTCTGCATTGGATTGTTATCGGATAGGGTAATAACTTCATAATTAACTAGGTCTGAAAGCAGAAGTCTAGGGCAAATAATTGCAAGTCTCTTCAGTGAGAATGTCACAAAATGATTTAAAAAGAAAAGCACATTCTGGAAAAAAAGTCAAAATAAAGAAAAGGGCATATTTTGAAGAGAAAAAGGGAAATTTGAGAAGCATTTTGCTACATGTATGGGCAACGTGCTTCTGTAAATCGCCATGTAACCATATAATAAACATATTATATTCTTTGCAAGCTCTTGTGGGCCACATTAAATGAAGTCGCGGGCCGGATTTGGCCCCCGGGCCTTGAGTTTGACACCCCTGCTTTAAATAAACAACTTTTAGTTTCATCCCTAAACCATAAGATTAGAAGTTTTTTATGCAAAAGGTTAATATTTGACGATGGTTATCATATATATTTAGTAAAATAAGTAAAACATACAGTATAAGTATAAAGTAACAACAGTACTGTATAATAAATCATTGATAATTGACTTATCCTGTGTGATAACTGCAGCTGTAAAACATCACTCTGGTGATGAGTTTGATATAATCTGAGGCTATTACTGGTCTCACATGAAAGTCAGACTGCATCCCAAACTTCCTCTGCCTCCACTGAACTACAGAGGTGGTGTTGAGTACAATCACTGTTAGATTTGCTACATCAAACATATTGAATATGGAGCACATTGACGTGCTATCATGAAATATTGAAGAAAATATACAGAAGCAGCACCTCGAGACTGTCACTTCACTCTCTCTCTCTCTCTGTCGCATTTTAGCTGTGCAGTCTTTACAAATGTGATCAAAGGAGAAAATGTCAGCACACCAAGTCTTTCAACTCTCACTGGCAATAAGGAGACAGACACTGAGATGAGTTACAGCACGAGCAGCTTCAAACTGCAGCTTCTCTTATTACCTTATTTAATGGTGCGCTGTGCACCTGAGAGACATTTCTGAAGATAATCTGCTACAGATTATTGATTGTTTTTTCACCTTCACCAGTTTGCAATTCAACATATATATACTGTATTAAAATGATGTCAGAGATTGATTGGATGGATGGCATGCAGCTATTACAGTCCCTCCGGCCCTTCCTGTGGACCGCCATGGAACCTTATTTCCAAAGAAATGTGTACAGTAGCTATAGGCGAGACATAATATTTTTAGATCCTGTGGCCCTGAAAAACCGAAAAAGGATTGTCAATTCCAAAGAAATGTGCAAAGTCTGTTGAAGTAAAGTCTGTGAAAATTATATAAAGTGCCGCCATGAGGTTCTCTCTTGCTGAAGCTCCAATGTTTGTTTGTTTAGTACCAGGATGCACTGAAAATATAGTTGTTTTTTCTGATATTTTCTACAAACTATACTGTGTACTTTATTTTTACATGACATACTACACTTTGTTGCTTTTTTTTCTGATACTTTCTAAATTCCGCCTTTTTTCTGAATTTTTTTCAACATATTATCGAAAATTATACTATATCGCTTTTTTTTATATTTATGACATCGATTTTTTCGGCATTTTTCAACATCCTATGCTATGTCATTTTTTCAGATATTTTGGACTTACACCTTTTAAAAATATATTTTATTTTCCTTTTTTTATATTTTTTACTTGTTAACTTTTTATTCTGACATTTTCCTATTATTTACTATTTATTTTTTCCAGGCTTGGGGAGAAACGGATTACATGTAACGGGATTTCGGAATGCATAAAAGGCTTGTTTATTATAGGCCTAGCCCATCATTTAAGATAACATGTTTAATACATACGTGTTTCAACTTTTATAAGGTTACATTGTTTTGTTGTCTTACAAAATAAACTTAAAAAAAATCTATTCTAATTGATAGTTATTTTCTCTTGTATTCATTTACTTTGCAATTGAAACTGACATAATCCAAAGTAACGGAAAGTAATCAGATTATATTACTTTGATATTGTGATACTCAGATTAGGTTACTTATTTCATTTTATTAACATGTAATAATTGTAAAAGAATACATTTTTAGAGTAACCCTCCCAACCCTGCTTCTTACTATCAATCTGTAACTCTGTGTTTTAGCCCCGCCTACCTTTTTATGGTCATCAAATACTTGGTAGACGCTGTGCTTGTAGACCCGCCCCCGGACTCCAGCCCTGTCTATCTCATTGTTGGGGAGGTTGTCACAGTAAAGGATCCTGTCGTCTTCTTCATTCAGTTTGTGAGAAATGTTAGCGTTGAGAGGTATGAGGATGATGAGCTTCCTGGAGCCACGACCCAAGCTGCTGGTCTGATGGGTGGCACAAAATGCTGTGATGGAGTCATCCAAACCTAATCGACATATACAGAAACACACATAATCACAAGGATGCAGTGTAAAGTGCCAAAAAGGGACATAGAATTCATTTTAGCAATCACTAAAGATTGTAATTTGATGGCGGATTAGCATGCACAACTATGAACGTGCATCTGGACCAATTTAAAGGGGACCTATCATGCAAAATGCACTTTTGTACGTCTTTTATACATGAATATGTGTCCCCGGTGTTCCAGGGAACTCACCAAGTGTCAGAAAACACAACCCTCTCTATTTTCCTCCATACCCAAATCTCTAAAAAAGGGGCTGCAACGGATCTGATAAAAACTGATCCAGATTTGAACACTGTCCTGACGTCAGGACGGTGGCGCTACGGCTATTGGGCCAACTCCACCAATCAGGAGGAGACAGCCACGGCCATTGCCGTTCGAAAGCGCTGGAGACGCTGTAGTACATATGCCAGGCCAGTAGATGGTGCTGTTCTCACAGAATCAGCCCAGAGCTAGAAATGGTCAAATTGAGCAAAATGAGGCATGGCTAAAATGCATGATCTGTTTGGTATTTTGAAAAAAAAAAAGTATAATTAAGCAATAGCTCACGACAGGCCGTGGTATATGCTCATTATATCACAGCTAAGGGGCGTGGTTCGGCCCGACGCGAAGCGGAGGGTCGACAACCCCCTTAGCTGTGATATAATGAGCATATATCACGGCCTGAAGTGAGCTATTGCTTTTATAAAACGGTTACCAAGTGTGGCAATATGAAAGAAAAATACACACTCTAATTTAAATAGTTTTTATTAGTAAATAATGATGTTCAAAATAAAATAGTCCCTCTGTTGCCTTCTGCACGAAACATAGTGCGAGGTGGTTGCTATGCAACAACACTAACAACAACTAGCGAACATATTAGACAGAGAGCGTTGATCCATTATTTGGCTATTTATTTACATTAATGTGTATGTTGCCGTTTATTGTGCACCCACTGAAAAACTGTCCAGCATCAGTAGCATGGCTTACGTGGTTACTTGTATAGGCTGAGGTTGTTCTAGGCTGTTGCTTTGCGTGGCGAGAATATTGCTCCACTTTCTCCGGTCCCCGAGATTCGGCTTCCAGTAGCTCTGGAGAGAGCTTTCTCACCTGTGGCCACTAACGGTCATAATTTCTCTGCTTTGTTTCAAGACCCGCATCAGAAAGCTTTTGAATGGTGATCCTTTTCCAGTTGGTCTACCTGCTCTTCACGTAGCTCTACATGTCGTCGTTTAGGTGCTTTTTGTTCTGGAGATAGGCACTCCTCAATCCACTCCTCCATAGTAAGACCCCCCCCCCCCCCCCCCCCCCCCGGAGGTCGAAGTTAATCTTAAATGTTTTTGCGGACCTTTTTGATTACAGATTTGAAAACATGGTTGCTTGCTTTAAAAGTAGCACAATTCATTATATCAAACCTTGGAAAGTATCTAAATATCCCTGCCCTAATGCCAAAGGAACTGCACACTGAATATGTTTTTGCCGTTTGATGTCTATGTCTGGACCGTTGCGTAAAAAGGAGGGTTTCTGCCCCGTTACTTCTCCGCTGCTTTCTTGTTCCAGTTTGAAAAGCAAACTGCAAAGCCCAACTGTATACTGTTTATCTCAGACGCGGAGGGATACTGAGTTGTTGTGAAAAGTAACTTACAATTCTACCCGTGGTATACGCTCAGTATACCACGGCTAAGAACCAATCATATTGCTTGATTTTACTTGTCCGTTTTATAATATTCAAATATAGCATGATAGGTCCACTTCAAGTAAAAAAAAAAAGAATAGTTTCAGAGCTGGAGAGGAGAGGAAGATTGGGTGGAAATAAACCAAAAATGTACAATAAAACGAGAATGAGAATATAATTCAGAAAACATTAAGATCCTCACCACATAGCTTCAGTTTGCAATGTTGGATCAACACCACAGAAGAAGAATCTCTGTATTTTTCATTAACCCTACACTAGTCATGCTGTTTTACATACCAGCTCAGCAGTTGTTTTAATATAATGTGTATACAATGATTCCAATACATGTTATACTTGTATTGTACAAGTTAAGCCCACCAGCTAGTATTCAATGATGGTGTGTAAACTGAAATATAGGGAGATATGTGTTTTGAAGTAACTGACGTGGCAGCACCAGGCGCAGGTATCCAATGTAGAAGGACCAGGCCAGGCCGTGGGCCACGTTCATCTTCCTCCCCTCGCAGAGGGCTGACACCTCCACCTCTGACGGACCCTGAACACAACATGGACAATTATCCAGAGGCATGTCACAACAAGGAAAAGGGCATCCCTGCACCCATGCCGCCCTTTCCTGTGTAAGAACATCGTTTTTAGATGTAATTCTGGAGGAAATACCAGCTACACCCAAACTTGAGCTGGATTTGGATCCATAATGCTACTAGTTTTTATCCGAGGCCTCCGAGGAAACACTGAGCTTTGTTTAAAATTATACAGCAATTATTTAAGGACAGTGCCATGGTCATTCTTGCTGATGAAGACATATTTTAGGCCTATTTTTACTCCAGAAATGCCAAATCAATTACAATCAACTGATGCTCCAGGAAGTGTTCTCACATAGGGGCTTTTCTGTCTGAAGTGTAGTCCTCATGCTAAAACTGAGATCATTTGTATTGTATCATGGTGCTCTAAGCTGTTAGAATATAATATGCTCACAAATGATACATTGTCTGATAAAAATAAATCATCAAAATAATCAGGATTATTGTGTAATGTGCATGGAGGGTGCTTTTATATTTATTTATTAAGACAAGTATAGAGTTCTCTTTAACAGTAGTTTAACATTTTACTTATTTCCCTATCTGATATCATATGAAAGTTATTATAAACTTATGCCATGAGTTTTATTTTGCCAGTGCTGCTGACATGCTAGTCAACTTAACGTGGCGGTGTTAGCTGGTTATACTAACTAGCATGTTGTTAGCTGAAGTGTTTGTGTCTAGCATGTAACATGTATACACTATCTTCCACTATAGTCTTTTTAGGACATTCTAAAATGTTTTACCTAAGGACACATTTTATGACATACTTTAAAATGACTTTTTTAAAGAAATACAATACATTGATTTCTTTACGAGTTTTTAATGAAATACTAAAGTTCGATTTTCTTAATGATTTGTTAATGTTAATTTTACGGAATACAATAATTTGAGTGACTTGACAATGAAGCTCAGTGTGCTCAGTAAGTGAATGCTGAGAACTATTTTTGGTGATAAACTGTGAAAAAGGAGAACACAACTATTGTGTCTTCTTATTTTGTAGTGCAGCGGTAGAGACAGAAATACAAAGACGGTGTTTGTGTGTGTTGGGTGTAGACCTCACCAGGACTCCCAGGCTTCTCAACAGGGGGTAAAGGCTGGAGGCAAGAAATACGAGTTTCCAGCTCTGGCCTTGGTGCGGCAGAGGATGTCTGACCAGGTGGAGCAGAAGGCCTGCCAGCCCTGCAGCCAGCAGGGTCTTCCCCCACAGACCACAGGCCGGCAGCACATGGCTCCACCCTCGGCCTCGGTGCCTGGTAAAAAAAACAGAGGATACTGAGGTCCTATTTCAAAATATAAAAAAATCGTACAAATGTGAAACTTTGATAAGCCATTTTTAAATAACTCTATCTTATGCTTTTTGACAAAGTACCTCGTTATATTGACATGTCATTATTTTCAAGAAGGTTTGTTATATTGACAAGATTTATTTTTATGTTTTAATTTCACTTGCGGAAATGTGCTTAAAAACAACTTATTACTCTCACCTGGTATTTGAGTGGTAGAGTATCTCTTCTGCCAGCATACAGAGCCCATGCAGCAGAGGGCCAAGGGTCAGGATGAGTATCACCATGGCAACCCATCCAAATAACCTTTCAGGAGACAGAAACAGGACGCCTCCTATTGTCATGGCAGACAGCACCGCAGCACACGTCTTAGGTAAACTCCCCCGGGGCCTCGGGATGAGATCGTCCTGATCCTGGAGGTTCTGCATCTGTCAGGGGACCAAAGTGTCAGGGAGCGCTCCAATAAAAACAGAAGTATCTACTTTCAGTGTGTAGAGCCAGTACACTCAGAAAACGGTTCAATAAGTCCAAACTGTGGCAGTTTAGTGACAGGTATGGCTGTTGTTGTAATGTTTCCCTATGCTTGTAAAAAAATGCTTAATCTGCCATTGCAGATTGTAACCATAACCACCGGCCACCCTTCGGTTCCAAGAAGAGGTCCCTACAGACGGAGCACAGGCAGTATGAGAAAAATAAACACCTTACTGAACATGAAAGCATCTAAACATGTCACAGTAGGGGCACAAAATACAAATATGAAAATGAGTATAATATGGCCCCTTTAAAACATTCCATTCCACCATCTGGTCTGTTTATTGGTATTGATTTTTTTGTATTAGTGTGTATGTGTGTGTCCATGAGCAGTGGCAATTAAATAAAGGCTCAGTATGCATGTAAACATGTCACAGTAGAGGCACAGAATACCAATATGAACCTGAAAATTAAATGAGCATAATAGGGCCGTTTACATTTTTGGACACACAAATATTTCACCTGACAACCACCATTCAGCTTCTACAACCTAGAAAGACATCATTAGCATGCTGTAAGAGTCAGTGTCTAACCATACAAGAATATGTTAACTATACTCAATAAATATAACAAATCAAGCTAAAAGTGTGGGATTATAATTTCTAGGAGGATGTATTGATATTTTGAAAGTGTACATTTAATCTGATTTGCAGTGTTTCTATATTTTAAACTTGAGTTGTAAAACAAATCAGTGACACAGCTCGTCTGGTTCCTCTCTTATAAGACATATGTATTGTGTACTTAATAAGGGTGGAGCTGGACTTGAGTAGTGTTTCGCTCTGGTCTATGTACATATGTAAGTAATGTATGTTTTACATAAGTATGTGACTGCACTGGCCTGCTATTATATTAATATCTATATATTTTACCTGCAAAACGTGTGTTTATCACCTGAAAAAGCTTGATATATCAGAAGTAATTGTACAATTTGCATAACTTTTAGTCTGAGTATATTCAAGATGTTTGTTTTCTTTCTACCAAGTTTCTCTCCCACACAATCCAATCTCTAAAAAGGGCTTTGAAACCACATTGCAATGATGGCAGGATGGTGAAAGTGCTGAATGCACTGTACACAGTATTACAGATCAGTTTTATATAAAGCAGTTAGGTTCCTTTTTTTAACCAAAAACACATAACTGATCTCTGTCAGTGATGATGCCAGTGTTCACAAGAGGCCGGGAAAAGTGAAATCTAGCAGGGTACATTTAGTCTAACTCCATAAAAAGTAAAACTAAGAGAAATGAATATATGAAGGGACTCACCTTGGTGTGTCTGCGTAGATCCAGAAGTGAGAGATGTTCTTTTGTCCTCTGTTCTTCTTATGCCTCTCCCCTGCCTTGCTCTCCGCCCCTTCATTCACCTTCCAACACTTTCACTTTCGTTTACTGCTTATTCCTCTCTGCCTGTCATTAATAACATCACCGTGAAGAGAAGGGAGTGGGAAGTGGCAGAGTTCACGGAAAGGGTTCATGAAAGAGGAAGTTCTCACCATACTATGAATAGTTTTCAAATGACAACAGGTTCTTCAGAAGTTCATTTTCTTTTGAACTGTTTCAATTGGTTGCCAAATGAGGCGATATGAGAGGCATGCCTGTGCAATTACTCTTAAAACTGGATAAGATATTTCCCCTGAGAGGAAATTGAGCTTGGGCAATAGGTCTACACATGTCTGCATTCAAAAAATGTGTAGCAAACAAGATGTAACATATTGCAAATGCCCAGTTAAATGTATATACAAATATGTAGGCATTATAAAAATAAGGAGAATATAAGAACAAAACACAAAAAACCATGGACCATAAATTCAACAGGTGCCTGATTCCTGTGAACTACACAAACAAGGATTAACCTGTTTTCCCACTCCAAATGGCCCTTGGATGAAGTTATTTACCTTAAACAAAAAGGTGTTGTGTTTCAAGTGTACAGCACTCATCACTGCATCCTGTGTGTTGGTTGGACTTCCCGGGCAGAAAGGCATAATAAATGTTGCTAATTATTTATCTAAAAGCCCTCATTGATAAACTAACGCCTCACATCACAATGAAGCTGGATTATAAAGCTGCACATATGCCTGTAGGGCGATTTATGGTTTAGTAGATTGTCAGAAGATAAAATAATCATTTAATATTGTGACGATTATCTTCCGTTTAACTTCAATTTTGATGCACTTTCAACCGCAGCACGTGGCTCTAAGATTTTATAGCCGACTTTATATAACCTTTATTTCTATTGAAACCCCAAAAGCAGAAGTCCTCCACCACTTTGAGATAGTGGACATGGTCTTCTTGGTAAATAGGGACATCAAGAGGTCTTTACATGATTCTATTAAACAGATAACTTATAACCTAACTTGGTTTGTTAAACAGGATTTTTATGTTTCCAGATTAAACCCGAGTGCTTCTATTTGTAAGGACAAATATCACATAAAACACAATAAAACTACATTTGTACTCTCCACCAAAATGTACAGGGAGATTAAAAAAAAGTATTTAAGAGATTTCAGTTGATGCAGTGTGTCAGTTTTTGTGGTGCATGAGATTATGGTGGTGGATATTTGTTTTAAAACGCGTTGAAACATTTGTTTTCCGCACACCTGTAAAAGTTTCACAATACACGTTATCTCAGTATGAAACTGAGACATCCTGTAAACCTGTTTCTCTGTGATTAGGAAACTATTCGGCTTGAATGGCTTTGCTACTGTATGTACCTATTATGCTTTTGGGGGTTTTCCCTTTCCTGTAGTGTGAGCCTGTTTTTCAGGCCTCAGGCTCGAAAATGACATTCCCAGAACAAATGACCATAACTTCACTTCAAAAAGGGGTAAATTAATAATCTTTTTTCTCAAAGCAATGATAAACCTGTGAGTTGGATGTAGAGAAGTCAGAATCAATATAGATTTTTTTTTATTTTAAAGTAAATTCAGATTGAACATAGTAAAAAAATGTAAATGATTGTGTCCCTCCAAAAAAACAACATTACTTATACTGTAGTGAAAACCACCCTTGAATGATGGGATAGTAGACTAAAAGCTTTAGGAATCCACACTATAACATATAATAAGTACCGTGTATCAAGATTGATGCAAAACAAGTGAAATTTGACATTTTTAGAGAGATTTACTGTATTCATCATTTTCTTTGGATTAATGTGTGTATGTCCATGAGCAGTGGCAATGAAATAAAGGCTCGGTATCCATACCAAAGGTTCATGCATATTTTATTCAAGAGTAAAAAAGTGGATCGTCCCATGGGGCATGCTTACAGTGTTGGTGACTGGGGAGTCAAAACAGAAAGAGCAAGAGAAGAGAGAGAAAGTAACTACCGTGGCACAATAACTATGGCACAGGGTCTCCCGGGGGGTTCACCTCTCCCAAAGAAGCACAACAAGATCAACCAAGGAGCAACGCAACATGAAGAGCAACCAGCAGAGAGAGAGAGCTTAAATATTAAGAATAATGTCCATTAGAATAAATAGAATCATAATAATCATAAATATCATCAAATAACAAGAGGAATCATCAAGAGTCATGATCAGAGATAGAGAGTACACTTATTTTCCTTTAAATTGTGACGGCAACACACCGGCTCTTCTGTTAAAATGTGTCCTGCTGCTTTTTTGCTCGAAAACAGCGAAAACTTGTAACCATGCATCATGCTTTGGGCTGCCTGAATGCCTGTGCCTCTGTATATAGTATGGTCATTCATCATTGCTAGTTTAATATTTGTTTATTCATATTTAATGTAAAAACAACTCCTGTACACCGACAAAGAAGAGAGGAGAGAACGTGGACTCGACACTTTGAATAGAAGCGTACCGTCATTCTGTACAGCGTCGAAAAAGAAAAGAAACATAGGTCGTGAAAAAATAAAAGAACGCGAAATTAATACAAAATTAACATTATGTACAAAATAAATTATTCATTACTCCTCAGTTCATTTATATTTGCCAAAAAAAACAAAACCTACCATAGTGAAACACAGAGCACAAATATAATCTTCACATTATTATCAAAGAACTTAACTCTGCATGCACTGATGCGTTAATATAAATGCTTTACAAAGACCTTTTCGGACTGCTTCTTGTAACCAGAAGAGTCTGTTTTCCTCTGTGAAATATGATTTCCTGCTCGTTAGGCCAGAGATTCCCGGCCATCAGTGCTGTTTGGTAGCAGACAGCATCCCGGGAAGAAAGGAGGATGTAGAAAGAGAATGAATAGAGAATGACTTCACATTTCAACTCCCCCGGGTCATACATAAAGCATCCTACGTCCGCTATACTGCATCTTGCGTCTTGTGACTGTGCATCACTCACATGTGCAATAGAACCTTTTCATGTTACCTATATACACACAACCTGTGGGGAGAAATACTTCAAATCTGATCCCAGCCCCGTTTTCAAGCCTTTCCCGAACTGGCCTGGGACCAGAGGTTGTTTTTTTGGGGTAGGGTGGAAGGGTACGGTGTAGTGCTACAAAAGCAAACGGGAATCTCCTCCGAGAAGAAAAAAAGGACGTTTAAGGGCTCAGATTAAACTGCTACTGAGATTCTCTCCACACATCTCTCAGCAGAGACACACTTTTTCAAATATTACCGCACGGACATTAACATGTTTAAGCATGTGCACGCACGCAGGCAGGCATTTCCACTACTCCATAAAATCAACCTATCACAAGTTTGGTTCCACTTCCTGTTTTGGGATGCAAACAGGAAAACAGAAACATACATATCTTTTATGGCGCTTTTCCACTGCAGGGCCTCGCTCGGCTTAGTACGGTATGGCTAGGCCTCATTAGGCCTTGTTAGGCCAGGCTCACTTAATGCTGCGTTTCCATTACAGTTTAGGAACTGGGGTAGTATCTATAGTAACACAGTGTAGGCGGAGCCGTGACGTCATCTTCAATGAGAACCCCAGAAAAACAACACAGCCGTTAGCTGTTAGCACTCAGAGCTCACAGCTCTTCATATCTGTTCAGAAACTAGACAAAAGTTAAACAAGTACAAACCACAGACTGTCTGTGTCATGGTGAATACAGTCGCTGCTTTATTTATGTCTGTATAGGCCGTTGTTGTGAGTGTGGACGGTCGGAGCATATACAACGTTAGCTTAGCCAATCTCCATTCAGAAAACACACATTTTAAAAGGTTTTTCGCCTGCCGTCTGTCTGCAGACTTGTTAAAGCATTAATTCATGGTTTTTACTAACCGGTATCAGTATGTTGTTACTTCGGCATCATTTTGAAACGTGTATTACAATTAAATCACGGTCAAATATGTTCATTTTGTTGTAGTTGCCAGCGATTCTCTCACTAGTTTAGCATACTCAGCCCGGTTGTTGGCCCGGAAAGAACCTCGATTTGGAGAGCCAGAAAAACTGTGAAAAAGTACCCGCTAGCCGGAACTACGCCTTAGTGGAAACGCAACCAAAAACGGGCCGGGCACGGCACGCTTAAACCGCAATCCGCGCTGTAGTGGAAATGCGCCATAAGCGCCCCATCCCTTGATTACCCCCCCCTCCTCCACGTGCAGACACTCCTGACACAACACACACCACCGACACAGCTACGTCATGCTGACACTGTCGATCCGTCGGTTGTCACCAACGTACACGGTGCACAGCAGCTCCTCCTGTTCCGCACGGGGAGTGTTTTTGTAGTTCCTTTCATTGTTGTTGTGCAGGTACATGGGAGTTGTAGTTCTTGAAATAGGGCCGATCACTCCGGTGAAGAGACTCAGCCTTTTGGTGGTAAAGTCCGGGTCAACCATGCCTTTAGATACAGCTGAGGGCAACGGGAATGGGGTAGTTAATCGTGTGTGTGTGTTATCTGTAGCCTATATGTTATACTGTGTGTGTGTGGTGCTTTTTTATATATGCTTATGTACACGTATCTGTAAATTGGGTACCATATCAGAGGTGTTGTATCTGCAGGTGTGTGTCTGTGGGAGAGTGTGTCCATCACTGTATATTGCTGTTGCTGTCGGTCCCGTTGGGCTCTCCAATGTTCATGCGGCCCATCGACAGCCCCACGCTGTTGACGGCTTCGCGGCGCGGAGGCATCCTCTCGTTGATCCGATCCAGACCTTTGGCCTCCTCGAAGCTTCTGATCCGGTGCTGCGGAGAGAAGCCTCGGATGGCTGCGGAGACACAGGCACACACACGCAGACACACACACACATACATACATGTACATCGAGTTAATTTTTCAACAAGACGTTAAGTAGAATCTTGTGTATCCAAACCCCTGGGACCTTTCAGGGAAATATTCAGAGCACCAAAATGAATGGAAGACTCCAAACCACAGTTTATTCATTTATGTGCAAACATTTCCATTCAGTATGGTTGAATTCACTTTCACTGGAGCACACCAGCAAGGAGTTTTAATAGTTTTGATGCTGATTGTGCTCCATAAGTAAAGGGGCATGATGGGTTTGGATGAACAAGGTTCTGTCACATATACACGCACATCTACAGAGTTCTTACACAGATTTCTACACACACCGACATGTGTTCGGTCTGAATGCTGAGCTAGGATTAGTTTGACCTTGTGGCTCTCAGGGAAGGTGACATTCAAAGCGACTTGGCCACTGACCCTTGGATCAGTAGTCAGAACAAAACAAAATAGAGTTCAACAGTTTTTGGGCTGGTGCGGCTGAAACGTTTTGTTAAAATAGCAAGTTTATATCGGATTGGCGAACAATACAAAAAATAGCTTTAGATGAAGAGATTGATACGGTTAGCTTACCAGGCCATTAGCTTAGCCCCAAGATCGGAAGCCTGGCCTATAGTCTGCCTACAAGCACTACTGAGGCACACAAATTAACACTTAGCATGAGCTTTGTTTGATCCATTTAAAGTTGTGGTTTCCCAAGTCTATTTTGGAGCTGGACCCAAAGGAGGGATTTAAAGTCTGAATATCTCCAGCTCTAGTACTTTAGTTTTAACTGTTTAACTTTCTCTTTTCCGTCCTCAAATTGATAGTAGGCTAATGATAAATGACTGGAGAGCCCCTTTAAATGAGACCCACATTTAATCAAATTAAAGTAAATATAAAGCACCATAAAAGTGTTTGTCATAGATATACTGTATATATTATAAACATCATGCAATTGATTTGCTTAAACAAATGATGAGGTGTAGCACGAAACACTTTGGTTAACAAATGCATGCAGGGTACTAACAACTCTTGTGTGCAGAGTACATATAGTTCTAATACACTGAACACATACCATGATCACGATCTGTTCACAAAAGAACCTGGCTGACCTGTTCTGGATTCAGTCATTACAGGAGCTACGTACAAAACCTGTTATCACCTGACTTACTCAGGTCATGTGATCATTTGCCTAAGTAAGCCATTGGGTATTGTCGAAGCCCAGTGAAAAGCTGAGTTTTTACCACAGGTAAAGTTTAAAGGACTGGTTTTGAAACTGGTTTTGTAATTTTTCCTTAAAATACCTCAGTATCAAAAATAAATATGTTAAATTTGTACCTGTTTTTTGTTGTTGTTATCTCTATAGATAGTTTTGTTCAGATCTGCAGTGTGTTGGAGATATCATGGAGATGTCTTCCTTCTCTCTGTTATAATGGAACTATAAGGCACTTTGCTTGTGCAGCAACAGCAATGTCTCTTTCCATAAATCATGACTTATTCCTCTTGATAATAGAGAATTGCAGAAGCAAGTCCTAAAATCCGGAAACAACTTAGCATTTGACTACTTCCGGTTCCCTCGTCTCAAAGTGTTTAGAATTCTGAAATAAGGTCCAAGGTTAAGATAAGTCTAAAAGGTTTATGTTTTGTTCTCCGACATAAAATTAGTCAGTAAATACCCCACTTGTGAATGCCTGAAGCTTCTATATTTCATAAAAACAGCAGATGCTAACAAGTGACTAAAAGAGACTACTAAAAGTTGACCGCCTTTAGCTTAGCATTGATGATGCGCAGCCATGAGACCGTGATGTAGCTCGATTATAGCCTAGAGTTAGCTTTTTACTTGCCGATTGCATTTACGCTTCAAAAAAGTGGTGTTATTATGTAGAGATAATCCTGCTCAACAAAACGTGTTAAATATCATAAATGTGTGTTTCTTATTTTCTGCAATACACCGAAATCCAATGGGAAAATATTGTTGCTTTTTGTCGAGGAAACCTTTGCGATGCAACATTTCGGGTCGGCCTACAAAAGTACGCCATCACCGCACCACTATTTCTTTATACCAGCCAATCTATGAGTAGATGTACGCTTTATTCTACACAGACATTTGGTTTTAGGGTGTATTTGAGTAGAAAGAAAATACTGCCTTCATGAAACTACTCGAAACAAGGTCTGTAGATTATCTTGATCTTATTACTGGGTCGTGATTTGTGGTGAGAGACATTGCTGTTGCTGACCCAACCAAAAATGTATAGAAAATGGTTTGGCTAACATGTGTTAGATTTTGCGGTGAACTATCCGTTTAACACTTTGCCTTAATTATTTTCATCATTACAGGTGACTCTTGTTCAGAGAAACAGATTGAATCCATGTTAATATTTTATAGAAATACAGAACCTTTAAAATATAAAGAAAAGACTGTAACACACTGAAGACTATAACAGATGACCTTCACACACACCCACTCCCCCCCACAGCCCCACTCTTCTTGTGTGTTAGAGTAAGAAAAAGTTGGGTGTGATGTGTGTTGAATATGTGAATACATGTGTGTGTGTGTAGCATGAGAAGAGTATGTGGATGCTTTGTAATGTGGTGGCTTTAGCGTGCGATGTTATAAGGCTTTGTTGTGATGTGGGTAGAAGAGGTAAGTGCATCATGGGTAAGAAAGATCTATGACCTCATGAACATGGATGGCTGAGAGCGCAGCCATGCTTCACACATGTACGCACACACAACTTACACACACTCAGAGTGAAATGAATGGGATTTTACCTTCAGCGTCCTTAACTGTCTCGATGGCTTCAATGGCCTCAATGGTAGCTGAAGGATGGGCGAGGAGAAGAGAAGAGAAAGAAAGAAGGATAGAGAGAAGATGGCCGAGGCAAGAGAGAAGACCAAAGAAAGAAGAGAAGAAGAGGAAGAAGAAGAAGAAGAAGAAGAAGAAGAAGAAGAAGAAGAAGAGAGGAGTGAAGGCTGAAACATGCTTCTTTTGCAGTTGCGTGTAAATGCAATCATGTCACATGGCTGTGTGTGGCCTTTAAAACATCAGGTAAAGGTTGTCAAAAAAACACTGGCTACTTTGGTTCGTCAAACACTAGACAACAAGACCTGAATCAAGCAGATGATTAAAGTGTGATTCGATATATCAAAGATAGTTAAAGTATAACTTCTCCTGTTTACCTTGCGACTAACTGCTTTGAATCGAAGGCAAAATACTGGTTTTGCAACATAGTAGGGAAACAGAAGGGGAGTAATATTCAGAAAAAAAAACTATGAATATTAGATTATTAATTATTTAAATACAATTTGTAAATGGTATTACTGACTTCACTACTTTTGTGTGTTGATTTACTTTGATAATGCTGCCACTAATTTCTTAACTTTGGATATGTTTACATATTACATTTTGTATTGTATTAATGTGTGCTTGTGTGCAATATGTTAACTATTTATTTAACTTTGCCTTGTTATCTGTTTACGGTCTCCTTTGCTAATGGCCCTGCTGTTGGACAAATACAACATTTCTGATTTTGAGAATAAAGTAGAAATCTATCCTTTTTTTTTATGTACAACTGATCATCAATTGAACCTATAGTTCCCTATTGATTCATGTTGGTGCAATCTGTGTTGGCATACACCACTACGCATATAAGCAACTCATTTCCGGCTTGTGTGAGGCGGGGCCTGTCAGAGGGCACCTGGTGTTAGCAATAGCTGGTGTTAGCTCACACACACTTTGCCTGTCTCTCATCTTTTATTCCCACACACACACCCAGCAGGCTGTTAGTATCTTCAGCGCCGGTGAGGTGAGGTGCAGAGAGTGAGCGAGTTAGTGAGGCAGAAGGATGAGAGGAGAGCAGCAGAGAATTGTCCAGGGTAGATATTTGAACTGTTTGTGTGTGTAATTGTGTGTGTTTTCTGTTTTTTAAGCTGGATCCAGGGTTGAGTGTGTGTGTCTGTGTGTGTTAAACACTTACCGCTCTGCAGGGTTTGTTTTCCCCCAGAGAGCACGCCGCTGGGCAGCATGCCTGTAGGAGTCAGTCCCTTCAGGGTCAACACGTTCTCACTCTCCTCCCTGAGAGACAGACAGACACAGGGTGTGAGTGTGGTGCAGGTGTGTGTGTGGATAGAAAGAGACATTTACAGGATTACAGCATTACACACTTCCCCTCATTGTGCACCTGCAAACACACATGCTTGTGGGTTAAACAGCTGAATATTTACAGTTACAATCTGGGGAATCTTGATTAAAAAAGTTATGGGAAGTACTGAAACTAAATACAATTTTGAATGACATATACTTAACTTCAGTCCCTTTTCTTTTCATGCCACCTTGTATTTATACTCCAATACATCTCAGGGGGAAATTTGTAATGGACTACATTGATCTGACAGAGTAACTATGGGATTTAAGTCTTTGCAGACCATTTACATGCACAAAACTTTTATGACACACTACAGCACATATGTCAAACTCAAGGCCCGGGGGCCAAATCCGGCCCGTGGTGGATTTAATTTCGGCCCGCAGGATAATTTCTAATTACTATTAGATCTGGCCCGCCGGTATATTGCACGCACACCTTCACCCAATCCTGAGGATTTCCTCAGCTCAGAGCCTGAGCCCAAACATTGATGAACTTGCACCCAAGATGAGATGCCAAGTATCATTTCCATGGGATTTGGGAGGACGAACAACAGGCAGAGCCCAGCGCTCTGAAATCTGTGATGCGACCGGCTGGCCTGCATTGTTATCACCCAGGAAGAGCGCCTCTTCAACCCCTATTCCTACTAGGAAACAGTCGTGGACAGCTGCTAAAGGGAGAACTACAAACAATCCTCCTAAACCACCGAGTGTGCCAATCCAGAACAGATATGCTCCACTGACCCAGAACCGGAGATCTCTTTCTGATGACCTGGATAACCTGTCCTCTTCACACAGCAGGGTAAGGACCAATAGCTACTCCAAAAGTAAAAGGCTAGAGGGAAAGCTAACGGCTGGGCCTGAAACTCTGATTGTGGGTGACTCTGCTGTAAGAGATGTAAAAAGTCTGTGTAGTAAGAACAACACCAAAGTACTCTGTTTTCCCAAGGATATGGTCTCTGACTTGGCTGAGAAGATCCTGCATATTGGGGCTGAACATCCGACTGTGAAGAATGTGGTACTGCACATTGGAACAAATGATGTTGTGAAACAACAGTCAGAAGGGCTGAAAAAATACTTTAAATGTCTGTTGGAAACTGTCAGCTCTCTAAATGCGGAGGTGTTCATCAGGGGCCCTCTACCGCCAGTCAGAAGAGGAGTGGAGAGATTCAGCAGATTGTTTGCACTGAACACATGGCTTTCAACTGCCTATACTGACCATTCTGTACATTTTATTGACAACTTTAACTTTTTCTGGGACCGCAGACATCTTTTTAAGGCAGATGGAGTTTGCCTGAACAAGTCAGGAGTGAAATTGTTTATCTCTAACATATTCAACTGCCTACGTCATCAATCTGTTCCTTCTGCCAAGGACAAGCAACAAGAGGAATCAAAACAAGAGAAAGACACAACACATCGCTCAGAAAACCTTGAAAATCTACCACTGCACCCGCCTGAGGAATGTCTTGATTATGGGAGACAAATGGAGGAGTCTCCACCGCCCTTCACCCCCCCTATCACCTTTGAGGATACTCTTCCTTCACCCCACAGCTCTCTCTACTCTCCGTTCACCCTTTCACCCTCGCCCACCCTCCTGGAGATCGCTGAACACACGAAGGAGATACAGAGGGTTGGCACCAATTCCTTCCTGGAGTTCAAAGACCAAACTAAGGCGATACGCAGGGTTGGCAGCATGTCCTTTACCCCCGCTCCTCAACGACGCCCACCAAAATCACCGAAGCAGAGACGCGCACCACCTCCCCCATCTTCATCACCGTGCCTACGTCAACCACCTCCCAAACCTTGGCAGCATGTCCTTTACCCCCGCCCTTCAACCACCTCCCCTCCCTTCAAGAAAGCATCTGCTGTCTCCGAAGCCTGATAAGGATGTGTGTGTACAAAACGCAACAAACTCTTACTGATATGTGCTGGGTCCAGGCTCAAATTTCAAAACGTGAAGCATGTCAAGGAAGTTGAGTATCTGAAGTGTAATTTTTGTGTACTTTCGGGTTAATAATGTGGCCTTTTTGGCAGTTTAACTAAAGGTGTGCGGCTGCTGCTGTGAGGAAATATCAGCCTGAAATTACAATGGGTTTTAATGGAGACATGTTGAAAGTTTTTGTCACTTCATGCCCTCAAGAGGCATTTTGTTTAATTATTTTTGCTTAATTATTTGTCATTTTTCAAGCTACGAGATGTTTTCCTACGTTTGTCATGAAATATTATGTCTCAGGAATGTAGGGTTTGGGAATTATGGCAGTTTTAAAAAAAGATATGAAGGCAAATTTCAAGATTTCAAGCTGTGACATCACACACTCTAGTTAATGTTAAAATCTGAAGAAAGCCTCTTTACCAAGGTCTGAACGATATTTAAAGGGCCCATGTCATGGCCATTTCCACTGATCATAATTCCATTGTTGAGGTCTACTAGAATAGATTTATATTGTGCAATTTTCCAAACTCACATTGGTTTCTCATACAGCATCTCTGTAAACTACGTGTATTCACTGGATTTCAATCTCTGCCTTTAACGGCTCGTTGTAGCTCCAATAGCTCCAGCCCCCACCCTCCCTCTGAGCACAGTGTGCTCTGATTGGTCGGGACGTTGTGAATCGCGCTGAGCTCCGTGGAGGTGTTGTTTCCTTGTTTAGGATACATAGCCAAACACAGCCAAACTCATCCTGAGCACACACAAAGTCACAGCCGAAGTAAAAACAATAAGTGTGGCTTGATATTGAGTAAAAAAAAGGTTGATAAACTCTGTGAGAATGGGTCTGCAGAGAGAATTTCGCCGCGATCCCAACTGTCTGTTATCAGCCTGCAGCCAGGGAAGAGAAATCAGCTGAGCTGCCTGCTCCCTGCACACAGTTGTGTGTGTGAGGAAGTCCGTGGATTGGTCAATTTGGACCAATCAGCGGGGGCTTAACGTAACGGCTCCGCGGACGTAACGTAACGGCTCCACGGATTGGTCCATTTCGTTCCGGGTACGGCTTGACATCATGCCGTACCCGGAACGAAATGGAAGAATCAAATGGACAATGACGTATCTCCAACGAGGCGTTTTGGGGAGGTATTTTCTGTGTTAGAGTTTTACTCGCTACAGGGTGTACTTTGAGGGTTTGTGACTCTGCACACCGTTTACATGCATAAAAACCTTCATAACACACAAGGGGACGGGTAATAACCGGAAAAGCATGACATGGGCCCTTTAATATCTCTAAAAGTAAGAATCAGATTTAAAAGTTGTGTTACACGAATAATGTCAGAAAGATGTGTAACATTTTAAAGTTGGAATGAGGTTTCTGAGTGAAAGTATGAATGAACAGTTAGCAGTTGAAGTCGCATGAAGATTGTTGAAGTCTGAAGATTTTCTCCATTGACTTCAATGGTTAAAAATGTGATGTATTATGGGATGTATCTCTGGAATTATGAAAGTTATGAATGATAAAAGTAATAGCCATCGATTCCCGACCGAGCTGAACGTTTTGATGTTTGAACGGAGTTTCTGCGATGTTGAATGCAGGAGGAGAAGAGGTGCAAAATTCCGGCGGAATAATACAAGTTTTGTCCGTAGAATAACATATAGTTGGAATGCTGTATCAGCATTCCCACTAAATTATTAGATCTCAGTGCTGCGTTTGACACTGTTGACCACAACATATTACTAGACCGACTAGAAAACTGGGTGGGACTTTCGGAAACAGTTCTAAATTGGTTTGAATCCTACTTAAAGGACAGAAAAAAACGTTGTTTCTATAGGTAAATACACATCTGAGTTGACAAATATGACATGTGGGGTACCTCAAGGCTCCATCTTGGGGCCTCTTCTCTTTAACATCTACATGCTACCACTGGCTCAGATAATGAAAAACAACAAAATAAGTTACCATAGCTATGCGGATGACACACAAATTTACGTAACAATTTCACCAGGAGATTATGCTCCAATTCAAACACTGAGTAAGTGCATTGAACAAATCAATGACTGGATGTGTCAGAACTTTCTCCAATTAAACAAAGATAAAACTGAGGTAATGGTTTTTGGAGCCAAGGCAGAACGTATAAAAGTTAGCGCTGAGCTTCAGTCTGCAATGTTCAAAACAACAGATAAAGCCAGAAATCTAGGTGTAGTCATGGACTCTGACCTGAGTTTCAACAGTCACATTAAAACAATTAATAAATCAGCCTACTATCACCTAAAGAATATATCCAGGATTAAAAGACTAATGTCACAGCAGGATTTGGACAAACTTGTCCATGCTTTTATCTTCAGTAGACTCGACTACTGTAATGGTGTCTTTACAGGCCTCACTAACAAATATATTAGAAAGCTTCAGCTGATTCAGAACGCCGCTGCTCGAGTCCTCACTGACACTAAGAAAGTGGATCACATCACTCCTGTTCTTTACACTGGCTTCCTGTGTGTCAAAGAATAGATTTCAAAATACTGCTGCTGGTTTATAAAGCTTTGAATGGTTTAGGCCCAAAATACATTTCTGACCTCCTGCTAAATTATGAACCATCCAGAACTCTCAGGTCTTCAGGGACTGGTCAGCTTTCTGTCCCCAGAGTCAGAACTAAACATGGTAAAGCAGCGTTCAGTTATTATGCTCCAAATATCTGGAACAAACTACCAGAAACCTGCAGGTCCGCTGCAACTCTGACTACTTTTAAATCCAGGCTAAAGACTTTTCTTTTTGTCGCTGCTTTTAATTGAACTATTCACATCTTAAACTGCACTGTAACTTTTATCCATGTATTTTTTCTTTTAATGTTTATTTTATTATCTTTTCTTTTTAATGACTGATTTTAAATGCCATTTTCTGAATGTCTTTTATTTTTTGTAAAGCACTTTGAATTGCCTTGTGTTGAAAGGTGCTATATAAATAAACTTGCCTTGCCTTGCCTTGCCTTGCCTTGCCTTGCCTTGCCTTGCCTTGCCTTGCCTTAAACTAGCATCACAGAGCAGCAAACTGAGTTTCAATGGATGTTTCCTTCTGCACTTTTTTTCTTGCGACAACAGGGCATGTTTGCTTTTTTCTTTGAGCTAAAGTGTTTTTTGAAGCTGTTGTTGGCCTGTGGAAAAATGTAATCATAAGAAATGACTCCGGAAAAGCTGCAGATAGAGCCATAAGAAATTAATGCAACTGATTATTTAATGTTTAATGTTGTTTTTATAGGCAATCATTTAAGCTTTGTTAGTTCCAGGTTTAATATGTGCAATAAGTTCATTTCAATACGTTTTGCAATAAACATTGAACCAGTCTGGCCCTCGACTAGTACCCATTTTTTTATTTTGGCCCACTGTGTATTTGAGTTTGACACCCCTGCACTACAGGAATGGGAAAACCCCAAAAAGCACAATAGGGCCCCTTTAAATGACTAATTAATTACTTTCCAAATTAAAATATTGCACAAAACATATTAATAGTTGACTTATAAGAGTCCTTTTAAAATAATAATAATAATAATTTAAATATGAAACTTACATTTCAACTTCTTAAATGGGAAGATTTGCTGGTTTTCCTTTTGAAAAATGACTATTTTTCTCAATATTTCCCAAACAGAACAAACCAAACAACCAATAAATGAATGTAGAAAACGATCAGCAGATTAATCCACAATAAAAAGAATCATAAAACATTAGTTTGAGATAAGCGTCACCTAATTTGATTTCACCACTCGAGTCCAGTTACTGAAGCTTTAACTTTAGTAAAGGATCTAAATGCTGCCCCCCCCCTGCAACACACACAGTAAGAACAGGCAGAGCTCAACCCACCGTAGAACAGAGAACATTTTAGCCATCTTCCCGATGGCTCGGATCTTGTTTTTGATCACCTCTTTCCTGGCTGCTGCTGCACTGGCTGCAAAGAGTCAAGAACCAACTCATTAAGATCATTTTTCCATCACAAAAGAAAAATTCCCAAAATATATTTGCAATTCGCGAAATATGTTTCAGTTATGTTTATTTTCACGCTGACTGGTTTGAATCACTTTGCTTTAATGTCAGTGTTTCTTACCATCGAAGATCTCCTCTCCGTCGTTCATGAGTTCGTCGTCGGAGCAGATACTTAGGACGTTGACCAGCATTTCAGTCACTGCAGGACACACACAAAGAGAAACACACACACACTTTACCACCGCATAGTTGCAAGCTGTTGGCATAGGTGTCAAGAGATGCAGCATTCCCTATCTGTCTCCCTCTCCCCTCATTTCCTGTCATTTCTCTACAGTCGCTGTCTATAAAAACTTAAAATTCCTCAAATCTGGTTGCCCAAGACCCCCTAATCCTATAAGTAGGGGTTGTACACCATTTTAAGCTGATATAATTGCTATTTTTAGAGAATATTATGGTGGTACTAGAACCATAGAACATAAGCATGCCATTCAAACAAAGTCTTTATAGAAATCCTTCAACCTTTTTTTTTTATACTTTAACTGTGCTAATTGGTCAGAGGGAAGAAAATCAGTCTTCTCTATCTCAGTTCATTGAATACATGCAAGCTGATCCACTACAGCTGCTATTTGTATAGCACTTAATGGGAGACGATGTGCTCTCTATGCTGAAAAAGGCATACATTAACCTGAATTAGGTTTTTATGGTTTATATTACATTTCACTTAGCCGATGCTTTAATCCAAAGGGAAATACAAAAAGTGCAATTAACTATAAAGAAATGAATTAATAAGAGCAAGAAATTCATTACTTTAAAATAAGCTAAACATTTAAATCCTACATTTGTGTGTGTTAGGTTTAAAGGCCAATGTGCAGGCAAAACAGGCCTAACCTTAGTGAACGACTGGATTCTCCAAACCATAAGTAATGTTCCTTTACAGTAAATCGCTGACCTTATGATGTTTTAATAATAGGGAAAGTCTAAATAAGGAATATGTGCGTGCTTGTCGTGATACCCTTCTCTCCCACGAAAGGCAGCGACCAGGTGAAGACGTCCATGAAGTTGGGCAGCCAGTAGGGGTGAGGAGAGCAGTTGAACTGACGGATGTTCATCACGTTGTTCTCATACTTCAGCACCGCCGCTAGACACACACACACACACACACACACACACACACACACACACACACACACACACACACACACACACACACACACACACACACACATTACAGCTTTTAGACTTTAAGGTTTGGAGTAGACAATAATCTCGAAACATGTATCATGAAATATCATGTTAGACATGGACAAACAACATTATTCAGATCAAAAAAGTAATTTAAAAATATTTTCACAGACGTTTTTAATAGTTAATTGGATGCAGACTAACACTCTGTTGAGTCTAGAATAATTGTTCCGCTTCAGTTTTCTTGTGTGTATTTGTGCATATGCGTGTCAGACCTTTGTTGTTGTAGACATCCAGGTAGTTTGGAGCAGAGAAGATTGTGATGAGAGCGGGGAAGCCTGTAGTCTGACTCTTCCTGTACATACGATACCTGAGGACAGAGAGACAAACACACCGCCCACGTTATAGCTGCTGAAATAAAATAAACATGTTGCTGAGGATAAAAAAACGGAGGATTCGCTTCAGAGGTCTTTAAAACCAGACAGAGACTGGTGTACGGCGAGACAGCCACGCATTTAAAAACTAAATGAAGGAAAGCTGTGTGGGCAAAATGACAGGGTAAAGCAGAGCTGAGGGACAGTCAGTGAAGCTTACAGCTCAAAGCAGACATTTTCAATTAGGCCCAGATATAGTGACTTAGTCATATTTAAAAAAAAAGATAATAAGTGTGGGTGCACATACTTTGTATGCATACAAAGAAGCTCATATTTGATTTGTGCCCACAAACAAAGTACACAGGCTTCCTCCCTTGAGGACAATTTAATTACCAAACTCATCAGTAATCAAGAATGTTGGTTATTATACACAAATACAAAGTAGCTGGTAGCAGATCTTTTATTATAGCAATTTACCTATTGCCTTTTATTATGGTGTTCCAGTGTCCTGCCTGGCCTTGATAAAGATGTTCATTCTCTTTAACCGGTGTTAGTTTAGTTGTGTCTCTACACGGCTGCTCATTTCATTGCATGAAGTCATTCAGTTGTCTAAAAGTGATAGGCTTAGATCTGTGGGTCAGTGTGCTTCATTTACACCTGTGGGGCAAACCTTACGTTCTGTTTCTGTGAGCTGTTCATGTGGTGCTCTCCTTCATACATACTCTAAACATGTTAATGACACATTTTAAGGGTGAATTTAAGTTTAAAGTGCCAAACAGTAACAGCTAGGAACATGAAATGTCAAGGTAAGCCCTTTAAATTAAGTGGTGCTCTCTTTTAAGCCAAGGAAAGGACTGACAGTCCGTCAGCTTACCCAGCATCCTGTGCTTCATGCGCTCTGATGATTGACAGCAGGTTGTTGGTCTGTAGGAACTCACACACTGCCGGGTAACTGTGGACAGAAAGAGACACAGAGAGAGAAAGTGAGAGCAAATAAGAGCATCTGAAGTGGAGTGAATGTGGAAGAAGTACACAGGTCTTTAACTTAGTCAGGTTAGAAATACTGCAGTACAGTTAAAGTCCTATTTAAAACCTTATTTAAGTGAAAGCATACAAGTCTTAGCCTCAACATTACTCAAAATACCAAAAGTGAAAGTACTTGTTATAATGAATAGCCCATTTCCAAACATATTATTATGATCATGATTTATTGGTTATTGGTGTGACAACGCGCATGACAATGCACCCAAAACACTTCCATTAGGAGAAACAAGCTGCAGTTTCAAAAATATTACAAATGGAAGGGTTTTGGAACGTTCTAGCGCTTTGGCACTTGTCGGCTGCCGTAAGTAGTGGAGTAAAAAGTAGACCCTTGCCCATTGAGATCTAGTGACCTAGAAGTAAAAAGTAGCAGAGAAACAAGAAGTCACTTTTAATGGCACATTTGCTAAGGGATAGTTGGACATTGGTAATGTTCAGCCTTTGCAAAATATGTACGGAAGTAAAACTACGGAAAACAAGTTTGCAATATTTTGACAAAACGTATTTATCCATCTCAAGATATAAAAAATATATGTCTAGGGCCTCCGTATAGTTCACTTGGTAGAACTTGCAGCCCATTTACACCAGCTTGGTCCAGGCTGGGACCCTTTGCAGTGTGTCATTTCTTCTGTCTCGCACTTCTCACACAACTTTCTACAACAAAGGCACAAAAAAACATCTACTGTGCACTTCAATACTGATAAAGTGAATCTCAATTAATTCACAGAGCGAGATATACATACAAATATCTAGTAAAAATCACCTTACACAGCCAAAATGTCATGTGTTAATATATGAACACTGGGGTAAACCACTAAACAGATGGAAGTATGTAAAGTCCAGCAGTGGGAGATGAGTGGGCCTCTTGCTTGCTAAGGTCATGTCTAAGTGTGAGCAGCAGGGGGCATCAGAGCACGAGGCAGGCCTGAGCTTATGGCCCCTGGGTGCTGGGGGGGCAGAGTGTACAGGAGTCGGTCAATTGATGCTGTGTCTGCTAAACATAGAAAACCACTGACAGACAACATGTCATAACACTCAGTCTCACACACACTCTCAAACACTCTGCACATCAACACTTCCAACTGCTCTCAGCTCCGCGTCTTTGCATTCCTCCATTTTTGTTTCTTTATTTCCATCTTTCATCTTTCTCCCCTACCACCACCTCCACCCTTTCCGTGTTACTCTCCCTCTTCCTCTCACTGTATCTTAATATCACTCCATATCTGGCAGTAGTAGCCAGTCGTCATAGCAACAGAACCGTGCAGTCTCCCTGGGGATTGTGGGATATCGTTTCATACTGAAACCCAACAGTGTGTGTGTTTGTGAATCTGTTTGTACACTGAATGTGTGTGTGTGTGTGTGTGTGTGTGTGTGTGTGTGTGTGTGTGTGTGTGTGTGTGTGTGTGTGTAAAAATGGCAGAGATCTCCTGTCTCTTGTACACATCCCAGTGATTGTTATTGGATCTGTGGAGTTACCGTCTCTTTTCTCATCAACATCACACAGCAATACTGAAGTCCATCAAACTTATTAGATCCACATCTCCCAGCAACAACTGATGCCAACAGGGAGGATCCTGCTGTATTTTTACTTGAAAATGTTATTTTTAATATATTTCCAGTGTCATTATCATTTTTCGTGATCCAATTGATCAAAGTGTAAACGAAAAGTAAACTACTCCTGTAGATAACAGAGATGTCTTGATGAGTCTTTGAACCTGGACTTTTTTAAATATTTGTGCTTGCTGGTTTCTTTCATATAAGCACTCACTATATTTAATTTGTTCTGATCCCATTATTTACAGATTCTGCATTCATATGCAAATGTCTCTTTAAAGTCATTAAGGAATACCATGTACGTGAGTAACATCACGTTTGTTGAAAGAAAAGACGCAGAGCTGAGATTGATCGTAAATCTAAACAAATGTTGTCTGTCAGTACTAGATTTTAGTTTTAAATATATTGTAGTTATTCTTTGATTCCTTTTAACCTGTTGACATTTCTTGCACATTTGTGGTTTGCCTCTTCGTATGAACTCTTCCAGCATTTGACCTGGCTTCACAGGAAGCTATAGGCATGTTGAAGAAACGCCAACTAATAGATATTGATCAAAGTAAACATGGCAAATCAGGTGTGAGTTATTAGTATTTGTAATTGTCTTCTGTAAATCCTCTGACCAATACAAATAAATTATAAAAGAAAGTCACACAACGCTAAGGCAAACACAAGGTGCCCAGATCATTAAAAAAATTGAATGAGCCGGCATGAGCACATTCGAGGATCAGTCATATTTCTGGCTGCACGTTCCAGCTGCTAATTTCAATATATATTGCATTCATTCTGGCTTGTTTGGCTATCAGATTAGTTCCCATCTCTGAGTTTTACAAGCACAGGGACCCATTCTCTTCGCTCCCATTCAATTCTTCCAAAATAAACTCTTATGACACGTTTCCTTTTGTTGGTCCTTGTGAGGAGTAATTGTGTCCTGTACCTGTAGAAATAGGAGCAGCCTCTCACTGTGTTGTGGCCAAAGTACTCCTGGGTCTTCTCGTTGCCAAAGTCTTCCAGGGGGTCGGCCCACAGCAGGTCGCACATGGGTCCAAACGCCGGGGGCTCCTTGAATCGGTCCAACTAGGACATACAAGGAACACACACACACGGAGACACACACAAATATAAGCTTACACAAAAGCTCCACACAAAAATACATTGACCCAAAAAAGAACGTCACATTTTCAAAAGTGTGCACACAAATGTACCAGCACACATCGGATAAACTGAGAAGAGAAAGGAAAGCAAACACACACAAACACATACTGTCAGAGCAGAGCATCTCCATGGCAACCCTCACCACATAGGAGGGAGAAGATGTCACACCAGCAGATTCACCATGGAAACACTGCCATTAGATGAGGAAGTGTGTGTCCTCATGTGTGTGTTTTCAGTTTTACTGTGAACTGTATACGTGCAGCTGTACTGTATCCACTGGTTCCCTATAGGTTCTCTGCATCGACAGTACATGTGGTTAATGAAGATCTGTTGGTGTGTGTGTGTGTGTGTGTGTGTGTGTGTGTGTGTGTGTGTGTGTGTGTGTGTGTGTGTGTGTGTGTGTGTGTCAGCGCTGCAAGGTGTGTTTGAGTGCTGCAAATAAGTCAATTATATCTTCGTTAACGTGATTATTTTCCAAGCAATAAGGGGAGTGATAAATGTAGCTTCTGTGTATAAAGCAGTTAAAACCGAGGCAGTAAAGGTGATCAAAAATGGTTTAAATTCTGGCAGGCAAACTGTGTCACAGTAAGAAAAGTTGTAATGCTTTCATATTAAGCCCTGTTTTATTTAGGAGAAATGCGCTGCAGTTTAAAAAACCATGCAAATATAAAAACACAAATGTGCTGAAACACATGCATATGAAGAAACATCTTCACCAACTTGACAACACATGTGCAGCATTTATAAAAACGCCAAGTTGATGAAACATGCGTACGGTTTACTGAAAGCGCAATATAAACAAAACGATGCAAAGACTAAATGCTGCGAATAAAAAAAGCTGCAAGAAGCTCAAAACACGACGGAAACGAGGGGCTACTAAAAAGTGATGCACACAACTGGGACCAGGGGCCTCATTTATAAAAGGTGCGTACGCTCAAAAGATGGCGTACGCCAGTTTCTACGCACTGTTTGCGATTTATAAAATACTAACTTGACGGGAAAATGTGCGGTCCTCCACGCAAACTCTAACCCATGCGTACGCACTAAGCACAAAAACGGGAGAGACGAGAAACTGCGACACCGTTGGCAGAAGGAAGAATGGAGATAAATATGTGGAAATAATACCATAAATAAAATGTTACCTCTCATTTATCATATATGAAGAATTCATTTTCACAAATTGATTAAAGCCAATCTTAAAATGATTTAACAAACGCCTGTTTGAGACTCCTCAGTGCACACAAAAACATAACTTGGAGAAATAAATAAATACGGAAATGTTATTGATCACCCCTCGATTATGTTCTCTTGTTAAGAAATGTATTCTCATAAATGATGCGGTAAACAGGAGGACAGAATTACGTCTAAACTGACGCCGTTTTGCATTTCTATAGGTTGTAGATACGAGCATGGTTTTATATACTATCACGTTTAATCGTGTTTTATGCCGTTTGCCAAGACTTGATAAGACGCTCGTAAAACACAGGAGGTATGGAAACTAAGAACACCATATGTGGTAAATTGTACAGCTAATATAACACAACACATTAGTTGTATTTCCTTTAACTGGTGGATTATGGATATATAGTTGCTGATCGAAAGCTGGAACACGAAACCACCAAATACAACAAAATAATTCAGATCCAGTCGTCATGACTCCACTCCGGAGGGATTCCCCGATCATTTCTTACAGTTTCTCATCAAGGGGGTGTCTCCTGTCCCGGGACAAACACACTGCCTGAGGAAGGTTATGTGTATTTTTTTTGTCATTAACTTTTTTTCGGACCACTTATTTATTTATTTTGGTGACGATCCGACCTCCATGCTGCTACTCTGGTTCAAACTGCATCCACCAAACAATATGATTTATCTCGACCTCCCCAAAATAACCCAAATCTGACACGGTGTGAGATGTCTTTTTTAGCTGTTCTGTCGTCATTTCCTGCGATCTTCTTCATGCAGTCAGTCAAAATGAATGAATGAATGGGCGTTTCTTTGACTATTTATAGGCAAATATGGGCGTTACGTGAAGCCTGCAAAAGGCTTCGAGTCGATTGTGATTTATAAAGGGAAACCGGCGTAGGATGTGCCGTACGCAAGTCCTGTGCCGGTACGCAGTCTTTTATGAATCGGAAAGTGTCGGTGCGTATTTATTTGCTTTGTCCTACGTAAGCAACCTTCCCACGTCAATCCTACGCAAGGCTTTATAAATGAGGCCCCAGAGCACTTGTTGAAGTTAAGAATATTTTATAGATGGCCAACTGTCACTAGAAAAATACCTAAAAGGAAAATTGTATTGGCTTGTTTTACAATGTGATCGCATGTTTCCTCAGGATATCATTGCAGATCTACTCTGAGCTAGCTAGCTAACGTAGCTAACCTAGTCAGTTCAAATATACTGACAAAACACTTACAATTATGAAACGTTTGCACTAGTCGTCCACCGTACTAACACCTACAATAATGTATTAATTATAGGTGAAATGTTGTGCTTCTACTGTGACATGTTTTCTCATACTGCCTGTGGTGCAGCACCTCTTTTCACCCTCTGTCTGAAACCAGAGCCCAGTCTGCTCTGATTGGTTAGCTGACCGGCTCTGTTGTCATTAGTGAACTGCGTGGAGATGTTCCATCCCTTAGCCTATCACAATGTGTTGGAGCGCTAGCCAATAGAAGCATGAGTGTTACATTGTGATGTCACTATGTTACTGAAGCAAACAAAGTAGTACAATGGAGGCGTTTCAGGCACGGGGGGGGTGTTTGGGATTTTCACCTTTGGAGACAATTTACATGCACAAAAAACCCATACAACACACTAGAGGAGAGGGAAACCCCCCCCAAAAGCATAATAGGGCCTCTTTAACTCAATTTGACGTGTGTATTGCCTTTGTAGAGTAGTGTAACTCAAAATTGAATGTGTGTGTGTGCCTCTTTTCATACCTTCTTGATGTCGTCCAGCGTGTGGATCTCTGGTGAAAGCCCCCCATGCACACACAGGAACTGCTGGTTCATCAGGGCTGCCAGGGGCAGGCAATCAAACGCCTCCATGCAGGAGTCGTACACCTGCTCCGAGTACTTGATCTTACCTGCAGGTGGTTACAGGGAAGGGGGAGGATATTTCAAGGCTTGAGACAAAGGAGCGCCTGAATGTGTTTTCGACATTCTTTGAACAGCCACCATCCCTGCAAACGTACAGTCAGTCCCTGTTACCCGGAGTGTGAGTGTTACTTATCGCACACAAACACACTGCTGAGAACAAACAAACATGGAGCTTTTACATGGACGGATCAAAAGAGCTCAGTCATCTGAAGGCTTCAGACAGACTTGTACGATTCCTCTGAAAACATCATTCAGTTCACTTGGGTGTAAAGGCAGTAACATGTAGGATTTTCACATAGCATGTAATGAATTAATCCGACCATTTCTTCTCCAGCAATCCCATATGACCTGTTTCTCTCCTCTCTGATGATTTAAAAATGCCTCTTCCCAGAGTCGAAATGTACATTTGTGAAGAAATGCTTCATATTACAGTAGATAATGTATTACAGACAACACATGGGTCTAAAGACTACAATTCTGTTTTCCAGTAAACAAAATTTGACCCAAATAAAAGCATGAAGCATTGTAGAGTCACTGTGAGGCTGAATTTTTTTGTTTTATGAAAAACCTCCTTTGATTTGGCAGGAATATCAATAAAGACATCCAACAAGCAGCATCTTTAAACTACATTTCACACATGGGCGTAACAATACATCAGACACAAAACAATATCACAGGATTCAAAATAGCTCAAAGGAGATTGGAGGAGAGTGATAGAAGGGGAAAAAAGAAAGAAGAGAGAAGCGTGGATTTTGGAATGAGAGCGAGCTGGGAGGCGGGAGGAGGAGAGGAAAGGAGAATGATAATTTTATAAAGAGAGAAGGAGAGATTGATGGGAGGAGACAGGAGAAGGAAGAAAGGTTAAGAGCAGTGAAAGGAAGAGAGGAGACGACAAGGGAAATAGAAGGAGAGATAGAAAGGAGATGAGATGAATGTGAGGACATGAGAATGTCACGTACGCAAATCAGAGCCAGTATTGTGGAGTAGCAGTGAACAGTAGCCAACATTTGTGTGTGCGTGTGTGTGTGCGTGTGTGTGTGAGACAGCGAGGAGTGTGTTTGTCAACCTCTCCATCTGCGTTGTGTAGAGCAAGAGCTCATTATTGCTAGTCCACCAGGTTTCAGCTCCTTCCACACACAGACACTTAAACATTTATGGAGACGCTCTCGCACATGCATGCAGTCACAGTACATGCTCTTGCACACACTTGTGGTTCACACACACACACACACACACACACACACACACACACACACACACACACACACACACACACACACACACACACACACACACACACACACACACACACACACACACACACACACACACACACACACACACACACACACACACACACAGATGGTAATTGAGGGCGACCACTATTTGCCACAAGCAACAGGGGAAATTAGCTTCCTTGTCCCTTGGCCAATCAGACACAGAGGAGCGAGTCCCTGAGCCAATCATTAAGGGCCAAATGAATTTGCTGCTAATCACCTACTCTCGGACAGGACGCGAGGAGAGTCAGAGAGAAAGGATGGACAGGGGAGAGGAGACTAAAGAAAACACATCTTTAGAGCTCAAACGATCAGTCAATAATGTTTTGATACGTTGAATGAAAGGAAATAAATCTGCAACGTGACTGTTCGCTAAACCATTCCCGAAAAGCCTACCAGCTTGGCATGTTAATCTATGCAGGTCTAGCTTTTAATTTCTCTAAATGTTGAAGCAATGTGCATGGGGCTGTGGGAAGTTTGATACTTTGTTGAAGGGTGTGAAAGTCTCTTTTCTCGTTTGTCTCTTGACTCCATTCTCGCAGTATGCTAATCACACTTTAAACAATGACCAATGCTTAGAAGAGGAATGTTAGCCAAGGATATCCGTTAGCTAAACTCGAACCTCAAAAATATTAGACATCGCTACCAGAGCCACAATTACATTTGTGCATTCGCACTAATGTAATTGCATTCGCACTAATAAGAGGAATGGGTGGGGTGAAGGGTCATTTTCACAACAGAGAGAGGAGGTGCACATTAGGAGGAAAGAGTTACTCACATTCTTGTTTGAAGGTGAAATATTCTGTCAGATGTCTACATTCATGATTTCCCCGTAGAAGAAAGAGCGTCTTTGGGTAGAGGGATTTCAGTGACCATAGGTATAACACACACTAAAAAAAAAGAGAAAGCATTCAAACTGGTTAGAGTTAAGCAGTTAACATTAACAACAACATTGTTAAACTTGCCAAAATAAAAAGCTATTTCATAATGTTGGGTACCTTTATAAAGCTTAGTAGTATAAAAACTCTTTGTAACAAAGTAAGAAAATTACATATTTTGGAAACATACATTCATATCATTTCTTATATTGCCTGGCTAAAGGACCAGTCATACTAGCACGGTAGGAATATAATTTTGGTAAAAAGTAAACATCTATTCCGAGTCAAATGTCAATACTTTCAGTTCTCGTCATTAAATGTAAACTGGAAATTCTAAATGAGACAGAGAATCATAATGGAGGAGACATTACAAGGAATCTCTGAATGAACCCTCCACTGCCCAATCAATTGAGCTAAAAGTGAATGCATCCTTAACAAAGTCTAAAGATAGACATGAAGAGGATTTTTGGCAAGAAGCATTCAAATTAACGTTCACACATGTTTTCACTTAGTCTCTTACAAATGGCTCAGGGGGTGCTCTTTCACAATTACACAGCATTCTCCATAATGATTATTAATTCCCCCGTCTATGCCCTTGAAGTGTGTTACGAAGGTGACCTACATTTTGTCCCCTCCCATCCAAACTCACTCCATGTCAATGATAAATCCCTCATTGCATGGTAGCTAAGTGGCTAAATAAGCTATAACTTTCACCATGGACTCATAGGAGTCCATTCCCACAAGGGTCTGATTGTTTAAAACATCTGAAACCACTTAGCTTAACGGTGTATTTAAAATAGAACATAGCAAAATATAGAATCAAAATACCTGAAACTGCTTGGACTATAGCCACACTTTCATTCAGTTCAAAGTGTGAACTGGTTTGCGTGTTAATGTTAGCTAACTTTGCTAGCCACACTCTAACACTAGCTTGTTGATCCGACAGGATTCGGCTGTCTGTAAAGATGGGACGTTCATAAAGAAGCTAAATCAAAGTAATGTGGCTATTAATCTTTTCCAATAACTCTGTTGATTGTATTATTTGGGATGCAGTTGATGTTTAACCCAGGAAATGAGTTGGAAAGAAATACAGGAAATAATTGTAACTTTGATTTTATTTTTCTGCCTGAGGAACCCCAGACCCCTTGCCAATTACTATTTATCTTTTTGCTCTCTCATTTTAAAACATAACCAGGCAGGCACCCATGCATATGTTGTCTTATTATGGAATCAAGTCACACTCCTGATCTGTGGTGCATATCCGCCAGGCTAAGGCATCGCAAAAATAACCTATTGCACTCACGTCCATTTTACAGAATCAAATGTACTAACAGCCTCTGCTGTACCGTCTCTGCTCAGTTTCCATACATATTTCAGTAAGCAGCCTATTACAGTCTTGTTACTGATTACTAACCTTGAATGATCCATGAATTTTAAATCACTTTGGTCTTTGCAAGAAATTGTGGTGTGTCAATGCTAATCTCAAGTACCTTTTGTACATTTATTATACATTACATATGGAGTACTTTTCCCTCAATAGTTCATCAGAACTCAGATATATTTGCATTCACACCAAAAAGCCCCCTGAACTAAATTAGTTCATCAGAACCTTTTTTACCCCCTTTTCCGTCCCTGCTAAAGAGCAGGGACTTTCGTGGTAGAAAAGGGTTCCTATGTCTGATTGGCTGGGCGGAATGCAAACAACGCCCCGTAAAACTCCCAAAAAGTTTTGTGAAGCCGCCATTTTATTATCCTTGCATTAGCATTATTAGCATTAGCCCAGCGCACAAACGCAGAGAGAACTAAATGAGTTCTCATGAACTGAGTTCTCATGAACTATTGTGGGAATAGAACTTGGTGTGAACGCCCCTATTGGGAAATAAACCTTGCCTTTAAAAACTGTACTACATAATTCAGGGCAATTTATTGGACATTGATTTAGTTGTAGGCTTATTTTATACAAAGTAGAATGAGCGTACAGAATTTTTGAGTGAATACACACCCAATAAATGGTCCATCCTCACCTCGATACTGAAGTAGCCCCTGTCCACATAGTCCCCCAGGAAGAGGTAGCGCGTGTTGGCAGGAGAACCTCCCACTTCAAACAGCTTCATCAGGTCGAAGAACTGGCCGTGGATATCTCCACACACTGTGAAAACAGCACACAGCGATGTTAGAATCATAGATACAGGAGTTTTCAGCTGCAACGTTGTTAAGTTTTCACAAATCAGTCAGAAAAATGAGGGACCATCTTTGCTTCAGTTGCTCCATATGGCCTGATTTGCATCTGCAGAGGTAAAACCTTCCCGTCTGCTGATCTAGAAACATCACTCACCTGCCTGATGAAAAATAAATAAAACGACAATAAGGGATACAAATATCCTCCTGAAAGAATCTACTACCATCATTTTGAAGTCTTTGTTTAAATACAACCTGTCAATAAAAGAAGGCACCAGGGATTCACTGCTAGTATCTATATTGATTTATATTCGAAAAAAGTCAAAAATGTTTACGATCTATATTATATATAAATAAAGCACTTGATTAACTGATTATTCGATTGACAGAAATGTAACAGGCAGAAATGTATTGTGATTGGTCATTTGAGTCACATTTCAAAGAGAAACGATAAGAAATGTGCTTGTTTCAGTGTCTAAGAAGTGCATATTTGTTGCTTTTCTTTGTCTAGTTATTATACTGATTATGATGGGCTCTTGGACTGTTATTTGGAACAAATAATACAGTTAAATATGTTATCTTTGGTTCTTGGATAGGCATATTTTAGATATTTAACTAAATGGATCCCTTCGATTTTCTCTGGCAGTCGTATACGATTAACTTCGCTCTTGGTCCAGTGTGAAGTTGTTTGGCTGAGCAGTTCTTGAGAAATATACTGGATGCCAAAATATTTGCCAAATGGGCACTGCTAGATAAATTAACAAAACAATCATTAAGAACGTAATTGGCAGTTTGAGTGATAATGAAACATTTCTAGTTCTGACCTCAATACTATTAATTACTGTTGTGTTACATAAATCATGTAATGGCAGTGTAACAATATTTTCCCCTACATAATTGTTCCAAGTCACATCCAGGAGTATTGGATCTTATTCATATCAGGCTTCAAATGCTCAACACTTAATATTTTTAAAGTCTTCGGGACTTTCTGTCTGTGTGATCTGCCAGCATACATCTTCCCATCCGCCTCTCTCACCATCTGTTTGGCCTCTCCTTTCACTTTTAGTTGATGTCATAGTTCCCCTCCGCAACCATTTCACAAAGGCTATTTTGCATCTGGCTGGCCTGCAACGTCTGTCTGTCTGTCTCTCCATCTGCTTGCCATGTTTCAGTCTGTTTTTGTGTCTTCTCCTTAGCATTCGCTCTAATTTGAACTGGGAATTGGGAATGCAAAATGCCATGAGTGAAATTGAGCTGTAGCGGGCGGCCTCCTCAGTCCTGCCTCAGTATTCTCCCAGAAGACTTCATGTGACTCCCTAAAAGCCTGTCAGTTCACGTTTCTGCCCTCCATCTACCTGTCCGTTCACTTGGCTGCCTATCTTAGAGCATTTCCAGGGAGACTGCTTGAAATGTTCTCCTCGACATTACATCTGCTTAGAGACCCTGCCTACAGAAACCTGCACTCTTCTCCTGTAGTTTAATATCAACAAATCTATAAGCAAAAATTCTCTCAGGTTGGTAATTCTGGGTCAGAATCATAGGTCAGAATCTGTAGACGTGGAGAAACTTGGAAACTAATCAATATGTTGTTCATTGGGAATGGGCTGGTTTTAGATGCTCTGCACTAAGCAGCTTATGAACAACTGTCTCTCCGCCTGCCTGCCTGTCTGTCTGTCTGTCTGTCCTTGTCCCCGGGGATCTGTACCTGTGAAAGCCGAGCCATGTTCCCACACTGCGTGGGCACCACATCCCACACAGAATTATCTCATCGCTCGCATTTGCATAAATACGCACACATACATGCAGAGATAAACAGGAACATTAACCAGGCTGTGTCAATGGGTTGAGACTGGCTGAGCAGGGCCGCTGCGAGGCACCACTAGCACCCCCCGCCCCCCCCGGCGACGCTGGCGAAACAGAGGGCCTCATCATATAACTTTGCGTGGGGCCTCAAGTTGGCCAGGGCCCTGTGTCTGAGTCTGTCTCCCTGCTTATCTGTCTTCTGTGTCATCCTGTCAGAAACTTGTTTTCCATTCTGTTCTCCATCGATCTCAATCTCCTCCCCCTACAACATTCTCCTCGGTGCGTACCATTTCCCCGGCAAGGGAATACATGCAGATATTACCAAAGCGAGCGCCCGCCATTGTGAGTCACATAAGTGCCAATTGGTTCTCTCAGTGAAGTGCGACAGAACAACAGTTCACATTAAAAGGCTGGCAGATACGGCAAATTAATGAATCGACAAATGGAATCTGATTAATACATAATTACTCATCTTTCTGCCTTTTGCTCCGCAGTTCCATTCCTCTGTCTCTGCGTATGAGATCTATTCGCTTGTCACGCATGCACATATGTCCGGCAGTGGCTCAGTAAGTAGGGGCTTGGACTGGGAGCTGTAGGGTTGCCGGTTCAAGTCCCCGACCAGACCTAAAATATGGAGTGTGGACTGCTACTTGGAGAGGTCCCAGTTCACCTCCTGCCCTGCCGTGCTGCCGTGGTGCCTTGAGCAAGGCACCGGACATCCCCCTTCCCCCCTCACTCCCATTGCTCCCCGGGTGCTGTACAATAGCTGCCCACTGCTCCTAGTACTAGACTCCTGGTACTAGGATGGGTTAAATGCAGAGAACACATGTGTGTGCTGTGTGCTCTGCATGTGTGACCATTAAAGAGGGTTTCATCCCTCTCTATTCTATCTACATGTGTAACACTTTTGTAGCATTATTGTGCGTTGAGCCCCAATGGGAATTTTGAAGTTTTTTAAGAAATATTGTAGATAAAAACGCGTATTCATTTTCTTATTAAGAGTTACACGAGAAGACTTATTAACAGTATCCTGTTTGTAAGGTAAGTATTAAAGGGGACCTATCATGCAAAATGCACTTTTTTATGTCTTTTATACATAAATATGTGTCCCCGGTGTGTCAGGGAACTCACAAAGTGTCAGAAAATCCGTGCGCAAATCTCTAAAAACGGGGGTACAATTAAGCTGATCCAGATTTGCCATCAGAGTCAATGCCCGACGTGTTTTGGACGTAATGTGGTCTTTGTTTACATTAGCAAGCATCGCTAACACTCAGAGCTAAGCTGTACTGGAGAGAGCATGTATAACAAGTAGGATCGCGCATGAGGATTTTTTTTCTTTTTTTTTTTAAAGCTTTATACACCGAATCAGCACTTTAGTAACAGGGCTGAAACGAAGGGATATGAGGCATGGCTAGAATGGGTGATCTGTTTGGTATTTTGAGCAAAACACTTCATCGACATGTTTTTTATATATTTGTATATATCTGAGACCTATGCTATTGCCTAAATAGCATGATAGGTGACCTTTAAAATATAGCCATCAACCAGTTAGCTTAGCTTATCATAACGACTGGAAAAGAGTTAGCCTGCCTCTGTCCACATGTAGCAAAATTGAAATATATAGTTATATACTATTACACTATTATATATTTATATAAATATCTTGTTTGTTTAATCCGTACAATGTCTTAAGTGTAACACTTGCAGTTTGACAGGAGGTATTTCCGCTGATATTGCTTGGCCAGAAATAGTTACTAGGCAACTGGTTAAGACCATTGTTAAAGCTACAGGAAGTAACTGCTCCTTTCGCTAATAAAATGCACATAGTGCAGCACCTCTTACAATGGCAAAGTTATGTTTTTAGATGTTTTTCTCTATAGAAATGTATAGATGATATAAAACTGAGCTAGCTTTTTCCCACAGTCTTCAGTCTTTACGCTAAGCTAGGCTAAGCTAACAGGTTGCTGCACCGGTGATACCAATTGTAATGCTTGGAAAGAAGTGAATACACAAAGGTTTAGCGTTCCAATTTTCTACTAAATATCCTGTTATTGTTCACCAGAGAACAGACTGGTCCACACTCAATTATTCCACTCTGCATCAGTATAGCATACCCGTGACTGGCGCCTCAATGTCCAACATGGTGCGCTCCTGGCGCAGGATGGCGGCGCCCTCATCGATGATGCGCAGGGCCACAGCTTCCTCCAGTCGGCCCTCCTTGGTGAGGTGAGCTTTGAGCAGGTCCACCCGCGGCCGGCCCTCGGCATCAAACACCTCCTTCATGGTGAGCCGGTGGGCCAGGGGCAAGGGGACCGCTGGAGGTTGAGGTGGGGAGTGTTGAAAATGATAAGGAAGGAGATGGACGTGAGGAGAAGATGTGGAAAGAGATTAGAATGAATGATGCAGGAAGGAAGGTGGATTGAATTTGGCACATATTTAAGATAAAGAAGGTGGAGGAGAGTTCGAATGGGTGTATGGATGAATGGTGAGTTCGATTATGGAGGGAATGACAGGAGTTAATGCAGAAGAAAAGAGAAGAAAATATATTATAATGCAGAATGTGATTCATTGAGATTTCCTGTCGTCTTCATCGTGATGCCCAAAAATGTCAGAGGCCCTCAACCCTCACCATTACCATGATCACACCTCTGCTGCAGGCTTTGACTCTGCATGTGTGTGTGTGTGTGTGTGTGTGTGTGTGTGTGTGTGTGTGTGTGTGTGTGTGTGTGTGTGTGTGTGTGTGTGTGTGTGTGTGTGTGTGTGTGTGTGTGTGTGCGCATTTATGTATGTGTGTTATGGAGGCCTAAGTGGGTTGTATTGAAGCAGGGGTTGCCAGAGTTATCAGGGCTGCCTGCCTCTGTTCTGCAGTAATGTCTCTCTGCCTCTCTGCCTCTGTTCTGCAGTAATGTCTTTCTTACATAATGAAGGCCCCCAGGGCGCTGCTGGAGTGGGGGGTTGACTGACGACAGGGGTGATACAGCAGGAGCGCACAGCTGCACGTGAGGAGTCACATACACACATGCGAAGACACACTTGTGAAAGCGCACACGAGCGGTCTTAACAAACTCAGTAGCAAGAAAACAAAAGGCAGAGGCGCAGGGGCGCATGCGTACATCATGTATGGCACAATGGCGTTAACACACATGATCGTGTGAGTGAGACTACAGTGGTACACACATACAGGCTCATAAAAAGGTATTGTTATGCAGGATCCACAGAGCCTGTTGGAGCCCCACCAGTGCTAACACAGATAATGGCCTAGATCACAAACTAAAAACTAGGCCTGGCTCTCTCTCTCTCTCTCTCTCTCTACACACACACTGTCACTTTTTCTCTGTTATGCACTCTCTCCTCTTGCCCCTTCTCAGTTCCCCCCCAATTTTTCCCTCTTCTTATTCTCTTGTTGCTTCCCTCTCTTTCAGGCCACAGTCTCTTCAGCAGCATATGGCCTGTATTTCTAAATGAATCTGACAAATCGGTGACAATCAACATAAATCAGTGCTTTATGTGTAATTAGGAGGATTTTAATCAAATGTGCACGTGTCTGTTGATAAAAATTACTTCTGTGAACGATACAGTCATTGGGTCATTGGGTTATTGGGTTACACTAAAAATATCCATAAGATTTAAATAGGATTTAAGATTCAACTTATTGTCATACAGGTACTATGTAACGAAACGGTTTCTCTGCATTTGACCCATCCTAGTGTTAGGAGCAGTGGGCTGCCATTATGTACGGCGCCCGGGGAGCAGTGTAGGGAACGGTGCCTTGCAGTAGCACTTGGTCTTTCCGGGACTTGAACTGGTGACCTTCCAGTTGCCAAGCCAAGTCCCTATGGACTTCGCCACCACCATAAGCAATTTAACAATGCGGACACACCAGAACATGCCAGGACACTTTAACCAAATTGTATCCCAGACCTTGTTCTGTTGTTAATTAACTCATCAAGTACTTCAGTTCACACTGGCACTAAAAAGTGTCACCTCATGTGTCCTGTCACTTGTGATCTGATCTCATTTCACCTTTCTTTATGTATATAGGCACGTATGTCATTTCTGGTGTGTGTCTGTGATTCAATTCCAGTCGTAAGTCTCACCATACAGTCTATAACCATACAGTATTACAGAAACATCCGATTACATTCTGAAAAAGCACTGCTATGTCCGAGTGCCGATTACGGGTGTTTTTTTGCTCTGCCAGACTGCGATATGCGTGAAATAATTAATGTTTCAAGCACATTTTATGAACATTAAAATATAAGGTTTTTGTCTATAGACAGTTTTGCCGGAACTCCACCGACAATGCCACTGTCACCTTTGCTCAGAAACTGCGGCACAAGCAGTATGACTCTTACATCCAAAATATAAGATATACATTTGTGGTGCTATACTGTCATTGACAAAGCTAAAGACTAAGCGCTTAATCTGCTCATTCAAAGGACGCCAGCTAAGTAGGAGGCTTGTGGCCCAGGTCACATTTAAATACACACTGCTAAAAGAATGTGGCCCTATGCGACCCATACCACTCAGACTGTGGTCTGCGTGGTTGGATCTCAATGTGTCCTCCTCAATGCTTCTTGGATGCAATCACATCTGTACTTGGAGTTGTCCACATGTGATTGGATCACAAAACATGCATGCTAATGTCGGTCTGAACAGGGACTCAGGATGCCCTCAAGTAGCTAATATCACCTTAGGGCTACACAGGTCAGCCTTTCCCCAAAAAGACACTTTTATGCACACATTTAAGACTGACCACAACACGTAAGTCATGCCAAGCTGAAGGGTCTGTTTGCCATTGATAGACAACACAAGGTCTACATGGTATAACCACTTTTGCAATTCAGATTACAACTGATATGTACTTGCACTACAAAAGACAGAAAAATAATTACTTATGACTTCATATTTATTTATAAAAAAAGGAAACAATAGGGCTCAGTCAGTATGTGGTTAATCCGCCTCCATCATTGAACTGTTCTGTCTTGTACGACCCCGTACAGTGCTGTACTGTGCTACAAAAAGTACAACTGACAAAAAGCTGCATGCACAGTAGAAAAAAAGCTACTGTTTTCGTGTGAAGCTTGCACACATACATGAACTCAATGTCTGTGTATTTATAATTCTGGTTTGAGGTAAAACTGAGGCTCCTGGTGTGTGTGAGAGAAAGAGAGAGACAAGGAGTGTGAACATCGTAAATTGTGTGAGCGGTGTGAAAGTAGGGCAGGTATGAGAGAGTGGAGAGCAGCAGAGCTTGGGGAAGGAACGATACTTGGGAAAACTATACTTGGCAGTTAGGGGATGGAGAGAGAGGAAGAGTCAAACCAAGAAGGTCTTTTGCACCTGACGACTGACTATTTGATGAGCGCCCAATTTAAGGGAAACACTTCTGGCTTTCAGAGAAACTTGAGAGGTTCAAGCGAGCATGAAAAGGTGGAAGACTCAAAGCTGTCTGGGGTTTAGAGATTTAAATTATGAAGCATCTGAATTTAATATTGCAATGGGAATCTGTGGAACATGTTGGTACAGCTTCTTCTTCTTCCTCAAATCACATTTTTTGGCACAAAATAGGGAATCTCGCTAAAAAACAATGGAAGGCGTTCTGCATTATGCAACATAATTTGTAGGCCTTGAGCACAACATTAATGCAAAGGAAACACATTTATATTTAATACAGCGCCCACATTTATAATCTACAGTATATGCATTCAGTAGTACAATTTATCATTGCACGTTACCGGTTTGTGGGACAACTGATAGGCCTGGATTATGTATTTGTATCTTTTTCCTTTAACATTCTAGACCAAATCATATTTAGGCTTTAACTATAATAACATTAAGATGCTAAAATGCTAATGTTTAGCAGGAATGTTTCTTATGGTCACCATCTAGCATGAACAGATAGTAGAATTTATTTTGATCAAATAGTAGCACTAAAAGAAATATCATAGAATAAACAAAGTGGTTCAGACTCATCCAGTGGGCACCATGAGATACCAAATTTCATAGCAATCCATCCAGAAGTTCAAATATTATAATCTGGAAAAAGTAGCTAGACATGCTGCTACGTGGCTAAATAATCCTAGATTATTACACGTACTGACCTCTTAAAAAAAAGGGTGAAATCATTGGAAATGTTGGGTTTCTCTCTTAAACCCTTGTGATTAATCAATACGATTTCACTAATGAGTACATTTTAGTTTTATATGGGAATATCAGAAAGAACAGTTCGCTTTCTTTAGGCAAACAAAGTTTGAGCTCCTAAAATCAGTAATCAAATGAATAAACAAAGGATTACTGTGTAACAAATTCGGGATGACAAAAAGAACAGACCACAGACACATTGTGTTCTTGAGTTTTGAGCTGAACAAATTATGCCCACAGACGGCTCAAAATGCTGAGTAGTTCTAAGTGTTCTGGTGTAACCAATTTAGTTGTTTTTGAGACGGGAGATCTATCACAAGTCTGGGTAGTTTCTTGTTGCACAAGCAATGACGCAGGCTTTGCAGCGAGAAAAACAAGCAGCAGGGTTTTTCTGCTTTCTTTGCAACTGTTGTTGAGAAAACAACCTCATCCACAAACCATAGAAAGCTTTTAGATCAGTTTACTTAGATGTAAATGTGTTTGGTAAAGCTTGCAATGCTCTCAAATGCACATGGTACCAAAACTGTGGGAATTATCCTGAAATAAGTCTTTCTATGGTAAACTTGAACCCAACACTGTCTTTAGTGTAAAGAATACAGACATTACCTCCATTTCAACACCGAGTATGACTCAGTTGTGTTTCAACCACTATGATATCTCTCAGCGAGTTAAAGCAGGAGGAATTTTCCTCAGTAGCACTCAACCTTCATGCTTCTCTAGTGGAACTCATCTTCTTTTAGCTCAGTCGGATATTATTGTCTAGTTTTTCTAAAGAGAACATTTACTGTTACACATAAGGCCAACCCTGTTTACACTTGGTACTTGGTGATAGGATCACAAGTGCACGGAGGTAATAAGCCGACAAGTGTAAGCTACCATCAAGACGCATTGTGATCAAATCACTCCCACGTCTTGACAAGGTTGTCTCAAACGTATTTAGCCACATGTGTTTTGTAGTGTCAACACTATTGAGTTAAGAAACGTCCCTGAAAAGCAAGTTACAGGAATACATATACAGAATTCTGCAAGCTGAAGGTGGAAGACATTTCTAGTTTGAAACATATCACACAGTGTCATCCTGTTTGACTGTAAGACAGCTACTAAAAATAATATTCAAGTCTTTGTTTAGGTATGAAGTGCAAATCTTTTACAATGGGTATAACCTTGACTG